CTTATGTCAAGTTGACCATTTACATCATTATTTGAGCCCATCTTTACTTTCTAGAATTTAAAAAAAAAGTTCCAGATAGACTCAAAGATTCTTATTTAATGGGACATAATCCATTAGTATTGTGATTTTGATACTTAAGTTGCCTCAGATTTGGTCAATATCCTCTTTTTCTTTCTTTTTTTTTAAAGATTTTATTTATTTGACAGAGAGACACAGAGAGAGAGGGAATACAAACAGGGGGAGTGGGAGAGGGAGAAGCAGGCTTCCCACTGAGCAGGGAGCCCGATGTGGGGCTCGATCCCAGGACCCTGGGATCATGACCCGAGCTGAAGGCAGCCGCTTAATGACTGAGCCACACAGGTGCCCCAATAGCCCCCTTTTCCACCTGATTCTTATGTCAAGTTGACTATTTACATCATTCTTTGAGCCCATCTTTACTTTCTAGAATTAAAAAAAAAAAAGTTCCAGGCTCATCTTGTATTTTCTCTGCTTCAGTCCTTGAAATTAGCCTTTTTTCCAAGAAGTGCTAGATCCTTTCAGTGAAGAAAGGTACCAATTATCATTTTTTAAAGCCTTTTAAAAACAATTCTACTGTTTGTGTGAACCCAGTATTTAGACTTCTGGTAAATGATTTCTATCATAGTTCCATTCACCCATTGGTCCATTAATCCTAATTAGTAATTGCCTCTTATTTAAAATAATGTTTTTTAATCATAAGGCAGGGAAGTGTTCCTAAACATGATAGCTTAGACAGAAAGATTAAGAACATGAATGGAAATTTTAAATACAAAGTTTTACATTTCTGTATTAAAAATGATTACCTTAAACACAATCAAAAGTTAAAAAATATCTGAGAAAAAAATACTTTCAATATTTGACAGACAAAACTCAATACCTTTAATACACCAACACTCTTTTAAATCAGTAAGATACAAACAGCAATAGAAAAGGAGCAAATCTACATGGATGTAATTTATAAGAGAACAAATAAAAATGGCCAAATAATGTCTCAGTTTCATGAGCAAGCAGAGTACCAATTATAATAATTGAAACTACCTAAGAGGAAATTTTTGACCCATAACACTGGCAAAGATTCCATTTAGTGACTATTTTTTCAAGGCATTCATTTCTTATGGAATTGTAAATTACAATCGTTTTACCATAGGGCAATTTGATGGTATAAAGTAAAAGCCTTAGCAGATTTTCGTTCTACAGTACTAAGTGTAGAGGCCGCTTTTAGGCAACCAACTTGAGCAATGAAATCTGAGAAAGGTAAAAGGGCCCACAGTGACCCCGAGGCTGAATATAAACAGGCCCATTAGATGACCCACCTCAAAATATCTATAAGCCCTAGCTGACCAATGGGCACCGGTAAAAGGAAAATTCCATACTTTCCCATATTTCCTCACCTTCCCTCCCTAACTGTAGCCCCCCACCACTCCCTCCTGGTAGACAGTCTGTCCTTCGTGTCTGCTCCCTTGCAGTGTATTCAATAAACTTCTATCTCTCTTCTGCTTTGGGTAAATACTTTCACCTCCTGTGCTGCTGGCCTCCACCCAATCAGGTTGCCCTACACTATGTAGGGAAAGTGTTCCCTAGTCAGATATAATACTTTTACAAAACAAGATTCAACTGAGTAAGTTTTAAAGATCTTATTGGCTTTATTCAATGACTCATAAATTGGGAAGCATCCAATCTAGCCAGATAGAAAGGAGCTCCAAGGAGCTATACAAAATGACGTGGTTTTTTTTAAGATTTTATTTATTTATTTGAGAGAGAGACAGAGAGAGCAAGGGAGGAGCAGAGGGGAAGAGAGAATCTCCCGCAGAATCCACGCTGAGCACAGAGCCTGATGTGGAGCTCGATCCCAGAACCCCCAGATCGTAACCTGAGCTGAAACCAAGAATTGGACACTTAACCCACTGAGCCACCCAGGTGTTAAACTAGACAAAAACGTAGGTTGGTTATTGCAAGTTTGCTTTCCTTTTGGGTATAGCAGGGGGTCTATCAGGCAGATTGCCTAACTAGTGCTAATTAGACACTAGTTTAAGATTCCATCCCTGGGAAAGCAGAAACTAAGTTAAGTCTCAGTTCGGGCAGGGGGCTTTGCTGAAATGACTCCCCTTTAGGCCTGTTGTCTTGTTTTTAACAGTATCTATTCCCATAAAACATTCAGATAAAGGAGACAACAACCTCTTCACATAAAGCCTGTTTAAACATTACAATTTTCACTTAAACTTTCACCTTAATCCTATCAACTCTTACGTTTCTATATTCCTTCAATCTAATTGCAGCCCATGTTAGGACCTCACCAACAGGTTTTGGTACCAGAGTGTATGTGTCTCCTGCATCCAGGAATCTCAGGAACTTCTTATCTTTATCCTCTGACCATTTTACCCATTTCTGAGTGTTAGCTTTGAGTCCCAAGCCAAGGGACCCTGGCCCGTGTGTCAATCTTTATCTGGGTTAATTTGCCTGACTATTGCCTTAGGTGATTCCAGGCCAGGTTTCTCTTCGCCTTCCAGCTTTTTAAATTCCTCCAAACTGGGGTAAATAGAGCAAACTTGTTTGGGGCATTTTAATGTTGGGGAACCAGAAGGGAGTTCATTTGGTCCACCCAATCTTCAATAGTTCTGTATTAATAGCTTTTTTCAACCCCATCTATGTCTGTTTTATTTCATTTCTTAATAACCACTTAGAGATTTCCACCTTACTGGGAGAGTTGACTCTCCTCTCTGCCTTTCCCCATTTCCTCGTTAACTAATTTAATTTTTTTATTAGTCTCTGAAAGACCCATGAAAGGAAGCTGAGACAACGAATTTTATAAGGCTTCTCAGACATTTGCTTGCTTTTGTTCAGGGAAATCCCATTCTTAAGGAGTTGTAATGGCAGTTTCATTACTTAGGCATGATTAAGTCATTGGCCATTGCTGATTAAACTTAATCCCTAGCTCCTCTCACCTAAGAGGTCAGGAATGGAGCTAAAAGTTCCAATCTAATCAAGGTTTGGTCTTTCCAGTAACTAGCTCCCATCCTTGTTCTATCTAGCTCTCCCACTCTTAGAGTCACATTAGCAAAAGATACTTCTATCACTTTGGAGACTCCAAGAGTTTAGGAACGCTGTCCCTGGAGGCAGGGACAAAGACCAAATATATTATTTATTATACCATTGCCATCCTGATGTACGTGAAGTAGTATCTCACTTTGGTTTTGATTTGCATTTCCCTAATGATTAGTGATGTTATCTTTTTGTGTGCTTATTGGCCACCTGTGTATCTTATTCAGAGAAATGTCCATTCAAGTTCTTTGCTCCTTTTTTAATTGTGTTGTTTTACTGTCATCGAGTTGTAGGTCTTTATATATATTCAGGAAATTAATCTCTTATCAGATACATGGTTTACAAATATTTCTCCCATTCTATAGGTTGCCTTTCACTCTCTTGATAATGTCCTTTGACAGACAAAGGTTTTAATTTGATGAAGTACAATTTGCATATTTTTTCCTTTGGTGTCTGTGCGTTTGGTGTCATCCAAGACATCATTGCTAAATCCAATGTCCTGAAGCTTTCCCCCTATGTTTTCTTCTAAGAATTTCATAGTTTCAGGTCTTATGTTGACATCTTTGATCCATTTTCAGCTAATTGTTGTCTGTGGTGTAGGGTAAGAGTCTAACTTTATTCTTTTGCATTTGCTGAAAAGACTGTCCTTTCCCTAATGAATGGTCTTGGCAAACTTGTTGAAAATTGACTTTATATTGAGGGTTTATTTCTGGTCTCTTGGAATAGTGTTACATTTTATTTTTTAATCCTTCAGATCATTACCATTCATAAAACAGAAATTATGTGAAAAATCTTTTTTTTTTTTAAATATTTTATTTATTTATTTGTCAGAGAGAGGGAACACAAGCAGGGGGAGCAGGCAGAGGGAGAAGCAGGCTCCCCGCTGAGCAAGGAGCCGGATGCGGGGCTCGATCCCAAGACCCTGGGATCACGACCTGAGCTGAAGGCAGACACTTAACCGACTGAGCCACCCAGGCATCCCGTGAAAAATCTTTTCATATCAATAGTGATTTTGCTCAAATGAAGGCAAGAAACTTAATCTTAGGTAATAAACACGTAATTCTACACATCTGTCTTCAAGGTGTTAGCCAAACATGGCTACCATACAACAAAACCCAGAAATGTGCAATACTAACTCAGTTCAGGAGTCTGGTATTTTGCTGACTTTTAATCATTTAAGAAACATAGCTTTATCACAGACCTGTACCCCTGAAACAAATAAAACATCATATGTTAACAAAAAAATTAATAAAAAAAGGAACATAGCTTTACATATTTGTGTGTGGAATATTGTCAAGCCCTGGTCTTCGCACTCCCCTTACTATTTACATCAAATGACCCAACACAGCATGGCTTACAGATCATTAAACTGTCAGAACAATGTTCACAATCAGTGTATCCATTAAGTTACCCTGAGTCCTTAATTTTCTAAAAGTTAGCAAACCTTCAAAGAAACCCAAGCCATCCCACCCCCACGGGACGGACCATCACTGGAGTGTTCTAGAAGAGAGAGTCTCTGAAAGGGGTACTAGTATTCTAGAAGTTTCAATGAGTTAAAGGCTTTGAAACCATAAACACGGCATTTCCATTGTGCTATTACAATGACATAAGCAATGCTTCTATTCTGTCAGCACTGTTCATTTTTTATAGTTTGCATATATGCCTCGGATCGCTCAGCAGCAGCTGGCCACCCAAACTTGCTTTATGGTGCTCTGCAACGGTGTCAACACCGAGGACGAAGTCTGAAGCCGAAGTCACGGTGCGACCCCGACGGCGCCGCCAGGGAAGAACCCAAGGGGCCCCGGCCCGGCCCGCCACAGCCACCCAGCCGCACCCTCCCAGCCGGAGAACGCGCGCGCCTCCCTAGGCCCGCTCCCTCGGCGGAGTGCGCGGCATCTGGTGCGCCGGCGCAGGCCCCGCCTACTCGCTCGGCCCCGCCTTGCCGCCGCGACGCATAAGGACCCCGGCCTGGCGCGCCCCGTCTCCGCACCCTCTCGCGGCGCTTCGCTTGCGGAAGCATGGAGGGCGAGAGCACGTCCGCGGTGCTCTCCGGCTTTGTGCTCGGCGCGCTCGCTTTCCAGCACCTCAACACCGACTCGGACACGGTGAGCCGAGGGGCGAGGCGGGCTCCGGCGTCGCCTCGGAAGAGGCCCCGCGCGCCGGCGCCCCCCGCTGCCGTTTCCCCGGTCCCTGCCCACGAGCTCCCCGACGGCGCCCCACCGGCTCTCTGCCCTGGCGCTCTGCCTTCTCCCGCTCCTGGGCCGTCCTAAGTGTACCTCCCTCCCGCCAAGTCTTTTCCGAGGCTAGCCCTCCCTCTTCTAACCCGTATTTATTTCTTCGCCCGGACCGGAGTGTCCCACACGCCCCCGTTGCTCTCTTCCAGCAGTCTCCCTTTTTTTCTGGTTAAACTTGGTTGGGAAGGGATGGAAAGTTCACAGCGTTCTCCCACTACGCTAGGAAGGTGGCGGATTAACTTTCCTTTTTTCCTCACTACCGCCAGTAGTTTTCAAAGACAGCTGAATTTTTCGTGCACAGCACCCACTGTGCGTGTTTGTTGAAATGGTAGGCTAGTGAGGGAATTGTAGGGGATGCATCCAGTGCCTGTTTTCGGGGAAGGCTTAGTGGATGATAAAGTCTAATTTGGTATATCAGATATCTGACTTTTGTTTGCATTGGTATTGAATTTATGAAATTGTGCAGCCTTAGTTCCTTTTCTGATGAATTCAGTTATAATGGAAACATTTGTTTATCCTCAAATATTAATTATTATTTTATACTTCTGCCAGGTTCAAAATCTCTGGATGAAGTAGCTTTTTAAATACGGTACACGTTTTAAAAAACTTTTATGAAATCAGAAAACTTTGAGCCTGATAAGTAGTGTCTTAGATTTAAGTGCTTAGTATGCTAGTACAGTTTAGAGAATACCATACCGATCAAAACCTACTGATTTCTGCTAAATATTGTGCCCTTCATTTTATAACGTCTCTTTTCTCTTTTTTTGGCACAATCCTGATAAGGTTGGAATTGGTATCTTTCATGTGTCCAATTTTAAATAACCTTGTGGATTAACACCCAGCTAAGAGCAAATATATGGCGATTTAAAATGTGTGCGATGGTGGAAATCATTTTGGAATGCCTTAGTGTGAATATAAACAGAATGGGTCCTTAAGTCTGTGTAGCTTAAAATATTAGCCCTTGGGAAGTACCATAGTGTTAAATAGGCCCTTAGTTCTTATATCTTTTTCCTAACATCTTTAAAAGGTGGCTTTCTGGATAGCTGTACTTGCGTTGACCCTGCTTCCTTTCCCAGGGTTTGTCTACAACACTGGACTATAGAGTTCTGGATTGTTACCCCGACACTCCAGTAAAGACATCCAGTTATTGAAACATTCTATTTGTGGGGTTTATTTTTTTTAAATGGGGGGGCATTCTTAACTAATTATGAAGAAGATAAAATCTTTATTGTCTGTTAAGCATATTGGGTCTTTAAATGTGCCAAGTGAAACAATTGAAAAATCTGAAATTCAAAGATATTATTACTGTTGTGGCAAATGCTTGCATTTTAAAAACAAACAGGGCTCGTAGCTCGCCTTTTAGAAATCAGACCGAATTCCCAGATCTTTAGTCTTTTGTACAATTTTTAATCTAAAAACACTAATCATTGTGTCGTTTCATAGCTCAGAAGCATCCACTGGCTTCCAGAAGCACGTGCCATTAATCCAGAGTCCTTGACTAATTATTTGGGATGTTCCATTATCGGCGCTATTCCTATCTATCTATGATTTCATTACTCAGAAACGGGAGCCTTCTCTGTTCCAAGGCAAACTGCTCTGCTCCTCCTCCTTCAAACATTGTGTGCTCATTTCTGGCTTTAAGCCTTTTATGTTCCAGGTGTGGTAAAATCACAGTGGTATTTACAATCTCTTCCACTCATTTTATTATTTTATTTGTAGTCGCTCTTCTGTTCATGTTTCCCAACTACACTGGAAGTGCACCTGGTCTTTCTTTTGGGTACCTGGGGCTGTAGCACACACTCCCCGTATACATTGTGAAACACTTAGGAAATACTGGTTAGTTAAATGACTGAGTAGTTGATTCAATCACGGTATTCCATATACTGCTTATTTTTATCCTTATAGGAAGGTTTTCTTCTTGGGGAAGTGAAAGGTGAAGCCAAGAATAGTATTACTGATTCCCAAATGGATGATGTTGAAGTTATTTATACAATTGGTGAGTCACTTATTTCTGTGTCTCTTATATTTGGTGCTTTATGCTGAACAGGATCAGCATAAATTAGTTTTTAAATTGTTTTAAGAAACAGATAAAACATTTTAAAGCCAATTTTATTGCATTCATTTCTCAATTAAAATTATGGCCATGGCCTGCTAAAGCAAGATAGAGTGTGGGACATAGAATGCAGATAAGACTACTGGGGGAAAAGGATGGAATAGCTCCTGCTTATATTTAAGTGGCACAGAGATGGCCCAGCAAAAGGAGAAGGAACCAGCAAGTGAAGACCAAAAAAAGATAAAACAGTTCGGACAAAAACATGAAATGCTGCAGAAAAGTTGGAAGAGGAGAACTGAAAAAACTGTGATTAGATCACTGAAAACCCTAAGTAACTTGTGGAGTATAAGGCCAGCCTGCAGAGAGGTTGAGGAGTGGGTGGTGAAGCACCTGCAGCAGATGGCAGCTGTTCTTTCAGGAAGAAGGGAAAAGGGAGCTTTAAAATATATAGGGGGTTTTCTGATTACCTAATATACGGTTTTTTCTAAGCATATTTTGAAAAACAAAATTGGTGATGTGCTTTATAAAAAATGTGGCATGATGACATCAGACTGTGTCATGACCACTTTCCCATGTTAAACAAGCCTCTAAGTATCACTGTTTTTTTTTTTTTTTTTTTTAAAGATTTTATTTATTTATTTGACAGAGAGAGAGATAGCGAGAGAGGGAACACAAGCAGGGGGAGCGGGAGAGGGAAAAGCAGGCCTCCCGTGGAGCAGGGAGCCCGATGTGGGACTCGATCCCAGGACCCTGGGATCGTGACCTGAGCCGAAGGCAGATGCTTAATGACTGAGCCACAGGCACCCCTAAGTATCACTGTTTTAACTGCATTGTATTCTGTATGTGATTTCAACAGTCCTTTAAATAAATTATAATCAGTTGTTTCCAGTTTTTCATTTTCATAAATTATACCACAGTAAACATCCTTACACATTTTTCTACATTTATTATGCATAGATTTCTGGGGGTGGTATTATGGTGTCAAAGGGTTTGAGCATTTTTAAGATTCTTGATCTGTATTAGCAAATTGCTTTGCAGAAAGATTGTATCGGTTTATAGTCCTGTGTGTCACTTTTCGTTTGCCACTTTAAAAGGTTAAAACTGGAAGTATATATGTAAATTTACATCTGTATATAAATGTAGTATATGTGTGTAAAGTAAATATATAAAGTCAATTCAGTCTCATTAGAGTCTCTTCTGTGGCAACCCGTTTTACGAGTATTTTTTTACTCATTAACAATACACATGTATATAAATGTATATATATTTTTATTTACACAAATGGGATTATACTATACGTGGATAAATATTTCCAAGATAAATATCTCTACTGATACTGTTCTATTAGTGTAGAATAGTATCAGTGTGTATAGTTTGCCCTTCTTTCTAATGGATCTGTATTCTCGCTATATCTGTATACTGCAAATGAACGACTTCCTTTTTTTTGTTAATACAAAACAGTATAATGATAAACACTTTATGGTGCATATATCTCTGTGCCTTGAGTCTATTGGAAAGTCAGATTCCTTGTAGATCATTGCCTTTGGAAAAGTCATGCTATTTTAAGACTCCTCCACAATATGTAAAAGTGCCTGGGTCCCCATACTGTTGCCACTACTAGGTATTATCCAATTTTTTAATCTTTGCCAATTTGATAAATGAAAGTAATTTTAATTTGTATTTCTTAATTACAAATGAAGTTGTTTATTTCTTTGGGGGCAGCTTTCGTTTTTTTGAAAAGGACAGGCCTGTTGCATGCTTCAACTATATTTCTGCTGAACTATTTTGCTTTTTCTTACTGATTTGTAATACCATGTTACAACTTAAGGTAACTGGTCTTTTGTCCTGTGTTACACATGTTTATACAGTTTGTAATTTTACTTTGTTAATGATGTTTTTTTCTGCTCAGACACAAGCTTTATTTTTTTTTAAGATTTATTTATTTGAGCGGGGAGGGGCAGAGGGAGAGAAAATCTTAAGCAGGCTCCACGCTGACACTCAGCCTGGAACCCACCCAGGGCTTAAATTTCAGGACCCTGAGATCATGACTGAGCCAAAACCAAGAGTCAGATGCTTACCAACCGAGCCATCCAGGCGCCCCCAGATACAAGCTTTTTTTTTTTTTTTTTTTTTAAGATTTTATTTATTTATTTGAGACAGAGAGAATGAGACAGAGAGCACATGGGGGGGGGGGTCAGAGGGAGAAGCAGACTCCCTGCCGAGCAGGGAGCCCGATGCGGGACTCGATCCTGGGACTCCAGGATCATGACCTGAGCCGAAGGCAGTCGCTCAACCAACTGAGCCACCCAGGTGCCCCCAGATACAAGCTTTTTAAAAGCAAACCCTTGGGGGCATTTTTCCCCCTAATTGTAATTGGCATGCTGCCCAAAGTAATCAAACATATTTTAAGGAGTTAATTAAGCAATCATTTATTGAGCAACTCCATTGTGCTGGGAACAATGCTAAGCATCAGGGTATTAGGCAAGTGCTGTAGGATTCCACTTAAGTATTTGCCCAGATTATTTTAAAATGTTGGATCACTAGATGACTAACAAGTAAAATCCAGAATCACCAAATCACACTGCTTTGGTTAATGAGATTTTCATCATAACACATTTTCAAACACACACCAGCATGTTTGGCCAGTTACCAGTAACAGACTATTTCTGTTAAGCTTTGTTTTGTTTTTCAGACAGGGATTTATCTGAGGATAACACATTTGCTAGAAAAATGTCTAAAGAGAATAATCACTTTTCCTTTTCTAAATAGACTGAATTATTTTTATTAATATACACATAAAGTTATTGAAATGGTGATTTCATGTAGTTTTCTCTTTAAAGATGGCACTTGCAGGTACAAACATGCAGAGATGTCTCCAGCCTTCAGATATTTACTTGAAGAGATTGTTCAACAGCAGTTTGGGTTTTTTTGTTTGTTTTTTAAAGATTTTATTTATTTATTTGATAGAGCACAAGCAGGGGGAGCTGCAGGCAAAGGGAGAGGGAGAAGCAGGCTTCCTGCTGAGCAGAGAGCCCGATGTGGGGCTCAATCCCAGAACTCTGGGATCACGACCTGAGCCGAAGGCAGATGCTTAACCGACTAAGCCACTCAGGTGCCCCTCAACAGCAGTTTGATAATGGGTTTCCTCATCTAGCTGAAGAGTCACAAATTCTCTGTAACCAAACGGATGTCTTTGATTTAAGTGACTAAAAAAATTTCTAGTGATCTGGCTAGGATATGCGCAAAGAAGAGACACACAAATAGGACATGTCACGGGAACGATCTGAAATAGATGATTGCTGTTACAGTGATCCAGTAAATGCTATCTGGTAAAATTTGATTTTTGACACAAGGGACACTTAAAAGTGGAAAGCCTAGAAGAACTTGTTTTCGCTTTGTTGTTCTTAAAATAATCTCTGCACCCAATGTGGGGCTCAGATTCACAACCTTGAGGTCAAGAGTTGCATGCTCTGCCTACTGAGCCAGCCAGGCACCCCAGAACTTGTATTCTCTTGACAGGTTTCTGTGTTATCAGGTGTGAATGTTTCACTCCTACTCTTCCTTCAATAACTTTGAAAGATCTGAAAATTTGGAATGATAGAGGGAACACCATATTCATCTTGATGTTTCTTACAAGATTTATAATGGTGTCTTATGCAATAGAATTTCATCTCTTTCGCACAGAATTTAGATGTATTTTTGTTGACAAGAATAAAACTCACTTCTGAAAAGACACTGGGGTTTTTTTTTTTCCTTAGTCTGTAGTTAACATTGACAAATCCTTTATGAAGCAACTACTTGGAATAACAGAAGATAATCCATTTAGCAGCTGTTGTTGTCAACTGGGTAAAATTAGAGCATAACCTTTTTAGAACTCAATGAAAATATAGCAACTTTTAAATTTATCTCTTGTATTGCCGTTCATTATTAAACCTGTTTAGAGGGAATGTAGTGTTCTAGTTAAGACTGAGGCACTGGGTTTGAATTTTAGCCCCACCATTCTGTCTGTTACCTCATCTTTAAATGGAAGGAATGATATAACATCTGTGTCATAGGTTTGTTGTGAGAATTAAATGAGACAGTGTTAAAGTACTTCTTTGCTCAATATATGCTATTCATATATGAAGTCCTCAATATATGCTATTCAAATGATAATTAATGTAATCATAGCAAAAAATTCCTTTTTTCCAGACATCCAGAAATATATTCCATGCTATCAGCTTTTCAGGTAAGTAGTAAGAGCAAGTAAGTGATCCATTGTGAAAATTACTTTCTGCAAATGAAGTAATTTTTATTTATTTTTATTTTTATTTTTTATATATTTTTTAAAGATTTTTGTTTATTTATTGAGAGAGAGAGTGATAGAGAGAGCATGAGAGGGGGAAGCAGACTCCCTGCTGAGCAGGGAGCCTGATGCGGGACTCGATCCCGGGACTCCAGGATCATGACCTGAGCCGAAGGCAGTTGCTTAACCAACTGAGCCACCCAGGCGCCCTGAAGTAATTTTTAAAACAAAACATCTATCAGTTTATACGTGGTGGTACTGGTGAAAATGAAAAGACTTCTGAAAAAATACCTGAAAATTCACTTGTTCATTTCAACCCTAATAGTTCTTTCTCTGTATTTATATGCTTGCTTTAGCTGGTCTCCACTGACTCTCCCAGGTACCAGTTTACCTAGAGGATTGCTTTTCTCACAGAGTCACCTCATTGCATATTATAAGCTCAGTGACATGTTCTCATACATCAACAGCAGCCCTTTTTTCTACTCTTTTATTCAGCTTATTTCATTATTTGTTTTCTCACTTACTACATATTTAATGTAATCTTTTGTCTGTTAACTGGTTAGGTTCTTTATCCAGCCTGCTTCCTATTGCCTTCCTATGGTGAAAATTTGTGTTATTAGTCCTACAGATAGTAATAGTACTGCAGCCCTAATAGGCTCTGATATTTTTTAAAAACTTTTCTTTGAGGTATAATATATATAGAAAAGTACACGCATAAATGAATTTTCATAAACACCTGTAACCATAATATGGTGTAGTTTTAACTTTATGATTTATATAAACTGTACTTGAAAAATCAGCATTTCTATCTTAGATATACCGTATGTACACTAAGGTTGTATAAGAATTGCAGTAGAGCAAACAGTAAAGGTGAAAAAGTTCTGTGGTTGCAGGTGACAAAAATCAAGGCTTCATGTGGCCTTAAACTGCTGTACCAAAAAGAGATAGATCTTGAATAGTGCTTTACATACAATGGACATAGAAAAATACTTGTGGAATGAGGGATTCTTGGTGGAGAGTCTTAAAAAGTACTTCCTTAAGGGACTCTGGACCAGTAAAAGATTAGGAAGGAAGAGTGAAAAGAAAAAGTGATTCAAAATCTACTGGCAACTGTCTTAAATAATTATACCAACTTAATAGTCTTAGAATGGAGGAAGCCCATCTGGTCCAATGATGATCAGCCTTTTAGCCTCAGCCTTTTAGCTTTACAAGATGAAGGAGAGGGAAGCATAAGGAGAACCACCTGAAAAGGCTGGCATTCAGTAGTTTTCTACACACTTCATTTTCCCTTAGTAAAACAATAGGCCTAAAAAGTTCATGTTACAACCAATGCCACAGAACTGGTTAATGGTAGGGCACAAACTAGAAGAATGAGGATTTCGTCAGTTCTAATCCAACAGCATACCATGATGTCTCTTCCTTGTTTTAAATAATACAGGTAAACATGTTAAAGCCTTTTGATACCATATTTCTTGGAGTCCCAGTTGGATAAGCTTTAATGCCCAGTTTTATGTGCTAATACAGAGGGTGCCAAAATATGGCCCATTTTTATAGGGCCATCTATGAATAGTTAATATATTTTTTAAGCGTTGTTTAAAAAACAAAAAGAGGGATGCCTGGGTGGCTCAGATGGTTGAGCATCTGTCTTTGGCTCGGGTCATGATCCCAACATCCTGGGATTGAGCTCTTCATCGGGCTCCCTGCTCGGTGGAGAGCCTGCTTCTCCCTCTGCCTCCCTTTCCCCTGCTTGTGCTCTCTCGCTCTCTGTCAAATAAATAAATAAAATCTTTAAATAAAATAAAATAAATAAATAAAAAACAAAAAGAACAACAGAGGAACATGCAGCAGAGACTGTCCAGCAAAGCCTAAAATACTTACTCTGGCCCTTTACAGAAAAGTTTGCCAACCCTTTTTTAATAACATTGTTTCTCAAAGTTTTCCATTGAATAACACCGAATCACTTACCCAGAATCTGGAGGAAACATCTGGAAAACAATCCATTGAAGCCTAAAACTCACTTAAAAAATTACGCAGTTTAACATGAATTCTGCACAATATCTTTCTATATAAAAATGGCCCCACTTGCCAGGAACTTCACATAAAGTCAGTGTTTGCACGGAGTGTACACTGTTATCCTGTTGTTTCTTATATGCCCAGTGTATTTAGCCTTATGCCCCAGTTTGAGAAGTGGGAAGTGGGCCATGCTAGAGAAATACAGGAATAAACTTGTATTTAATTTTTTTTTTTTAGATTTTATTTATTTGAGAGAGACAGAGATAGTGAGATAGAGAGCACAAGTGGGGAGGAGAGGGAGAAGCAGGCTCCCCACAGAGCAGGGAGCCCGATGCAGGACTCGATCCCAGGACCCCGGGATCATGACCCGAGCTGAAGGCAGTTGCTTAACCGACTGAGCCACCCAGGCGCCCCGGAATAAACTTGTATTTAGAGTATTCATGTTAGAATAATAAACAGGTAAAGTGGAAGGATCTGTTTGATCAGTTGAAACCCCCTTTTGATAAGTGGAACACTCCATTTTGTCTATTTTCCCATTAAAATTTTTCGATGGAAAATTTTTAATGAAAGTCTTTGTAAGTTAAAAAAAAAAACATTGCTTATTAGGATATATTTTTTTTCAGTTTGACATAACTACGTTTTTTCAGTACAGAATAGAATTACCAGTAAAAGCCTATTATAGTGAGTATTATTTATAAAGGATTTTGCATAACAGGTATTTCACTATCATAGAAAAGAATATTGTTGATCTCAGTGAATGTTAAAAGGAGGAAAATATGCAATCCCTTTTATTGAAGAAGGAAGAAAGCCGGAAGTAAACACTTTAGAATCTTTTAGAATTATCTTTCAATTCTCCCTACATCTTTGACATTCCAACAGAACAAAGACCACTAAACTAAACTAACATCTAAACCCCCTTGTCCCCCCGCAAAAAAAAAAACCCAAAACCAACCAGCTCCTAAAGTGCTTCTCAACTTGATAGAAGTATATAGCTTTTGGAATTAGCAATGAATAAACTGTCTTTTTGTTGTGTTTCATTACTCACACATTCTTTTGTATGTATCAATATTTTTAAAAAAGTTTTAATAAGTGAATTGTGAACTGGCTATGTAGACTTTTAAAACTTCTTATATTTAATGGATAGTTTGTTTTGTTTTAGGCTTAAAAAAATGTGATGCCCAAACTTATTTCTTGAAATTTCTCCACTCCTTTTCCTTTCTCGTTGCTTATGGGCCTCATATTTCAACCACTTTAAGTCTGTTAATTTGAGAAATTTCTCTGTTTTTAGAATTTCATCTGACCAGCAAGTGGGTATATGGATTTTGGTTGGGTAAGGAGTAACTAAAATTAAAAGTGCTAGTAAAATCATATTTTTAGCCTATTTGTAATGCCTTTAATTTTGGTTTTTACAGCTTTTATAATTCTTCTGGTGAACTAAATGAGCAAGCACTGAAGAAAATATTATCAAGTGTCAAAAAGGTATTCCCTGACTTACCTTTTGTTTTTTGTTTGGTATTATATGTATTATTTTCAGCTCTGAAAAAACGTGTAATACTTTAACAGAACTTTCAAGCAGCACTTACTTGTCTTCAACAGTGTCCTATAAGCAGGTGAGGAAAGGCTTGTTCTTTCTGGAAATTCAAAGTTTTGCTCTGAGAACAAAACTAGTCATTAAAAGTATTAATCTTGGTCTCATCCTCAAATATTTTAATTAGCATTGATCTCTTTCTCTTCTACATTCCTACCATACCCCTTTCCAGTGCCATTTATTCTTTTTTTTTTTTTTTTTAAAGATTTTATTTATTTATTTGAGAGCGAGAGAATGAGAGAGAGCACATGAGAGGGGGAGGGTCAGAGGGAGAAGCAGACTCCCTGCTGAGCAGGGAGCCCGATGCGGGACTCGATCCAGGAACTCCAGGATCATGACCTGAGCCGAAGGCAGTCGCTTAACCAACTGAGCCACCCAGGCGCCCCCAAGTGCATTTATTCTAGGACCTAATTCATTACTGTTCTTTTACATAGCTGCAGTTACTAGCACTTTGCTATATAGAACCTCACTGGAACCCTCCACACATACGTGGTGTTTAGTTAAGACTTGTTGAGTGATCAAAATAGGGTTTTTTTTTCCAAATACATAATGGGGCGGGGGGGGGGGATACTTTCTTTTTAAAACATTTTGATCTTGAGTTGAGAATAAAAGTAGATTCAGTAAAAGGAGTTTCTTTTAAAAACCATCCTTTGATGAAAATGCTTTGGACTTCCCCCCACAATTATATTTGGATATTTAAAATGTACCTGTAAAAACGTTTTAGTTTTAAAAAGAAGAGAACTCATTTTAATTTCCTCTAGTGCAGATATAAAACTTAGTTGCTAAAGTTGTCACACAGAGATCTCTAAGCAAAGTGGTTGTTTTTCTCTTATAATTATTAAGTTCCCTGTGAATGAGATTTATTTTTCCAGTTTAAAAACATTTAGTAATAACTAACAAATTTGTTCAGCAGATGTTACAGTTTATAAAACCATTTAATATGATCTTACTCAATTTTGAAACCAACTCTGTGGGGTAGGTGATATCATTCCCATATAAATTTCAGTTAAAAGTTGTTGGGTTCAGTTTACTTATTTAGCAAACCAAGTACCCAAACAGGAAGTTAACTTGTTTTCCTTGACATTTTCTTCATTTAAATTTTGACTAAAGACTAAAAATAGCAAAAACCATAAAGAAACTAGAGGAAGTTAGGAATTTTTTTCTCTATATTGACTAAAATAGTAGCCCTGTAACTGGATGGAAAGTAATTTGACTGTAAGTCAGTTTGCATACTTTAAAAGTAAAGTGTAGGGGCACCTGGGTGGCTCAGTAGGTTGGGTGAGCCTTTGGCTGGGGTCATGATCCTAGGGTCCTGGGATCGAGCTCCACCCCGTCGGGCTCCCAGATTGGCGGGGAGTCTGCCTCTCCGTCTGCACCTCCCCTGGCTCGTGCTTGCTTGCTTTCTCGCTCTCTCTCAAACAAAATCTTTAAAAAAATAAATAAAAAAAAAAGTAAAGTGTATACTTAAGTTTGTGCTTTGTTTATAAATTTAAGAAAGCCATTTTTAAGGCTGTCAACTTTATTGCTTAATTATGATAGTAAGACACATAGTAATTGTAACCATTAAGGTATATACCTGATTTTTTTTTTTTCTTTGTATTTTCTCTCAGACTGTGGTTGGTTGGTACAAATTCCGACGTCATTCAGACCAGATCATGACATTTAGAGAGAGACTGCTTCACAAAAACTTACAAAATCATCTTTCAAGTCGGGAACTTGTTTTTCTACTGTTAACACCAAGTATAATAACAGAAAGCTGCTCTACTCATCGGCTGGAGCATGCCTTATATAAACCTCAGAAGGGGTAAATGTTGGCCAGTCACTGGCAATTTAAGTTAATAGGAAAATATACCCAATGTTTGCATTGTACTTTTTGCCTCTTACCAAGTATTTTCAAATATTGTTGCATTAGATTGTCACAATAACCCTCCGAAGTTGGTCTACCATGTTTCTTTATAGATGGGAAAATGAAGGTTAGATTAGGGAATTAGAAGCCTAGTATGGAACGATGACGAGTGTTTTTGACACCGAGGATTTGTTATTATTTACCATAAGGTGGAAAACTGGTTGCTAAAGGACATAATATGGAACTAAGCCTCAGTACTTGAGCAGCTTTTCTCTAACCTCTGCAAGGAAGAAAGGTCATTCTTGATGGCCCACCAAAATGAGTTAACGCCCCCCCTCCCAAGTTATAGAACATTCTGATGGAATATGAGGATTAAGTAAAAGAGTTCGAAATAAGACTAATTTTATTATTCATGGAAGACAGGCTAAATCTCAACAATACTGCCTATTTTTACATGTTAAAATAGCTATTAAAGTATTATTTTCACACAACTATCTTACACTGTGCACATTTCACCACTTTTGAAAGCCATTTGCCTCAAGTCAGTAAATTCTATCTCAGGTAAGTAGTATGGAATGGTTTTTTTTTTTGTTTTTTAATCTTGTAGGGGAAAGGTACTCTGTACATAATATATATAAGTATATATAGGTATATAATAGGTGGATGCTAATATTTCACTTTAAGTTTATACTTTAAAATTTCATTTCTTCAGACTTTTTCACAGGATACCATTAGTGGTGGCCAATCTGGGCATGTCCGAACAACTGGGTTATAAAACCGTGTCAGGTTCCTGTGAGTCCACTGGTTTTAGCCGAGCAGTAAAAACTCACAGGTGAGATTCTTCAACTGCTTTCCACTGAACTTACTCCTATTCGTTTGTTAAAATTAATTTTTTATTACATAGAATAAAAATGAAACTAATGACCACCTTACTCAAGTAAAACAGACTTTTTAATTTCTCCATATTTCCTTCTAGCACTTGTTCATTTATAATATACAAAAAAGGGGGGGTATTTTATATCCTGTATGTGTCCTCATATGTATTCTAAGAATAAGTAGCTAGTCTCAAAATAATTTTCTAAGGCAACAATTTAGATTATAAAGGCATGAGGGCGCCTGGGTGGCTCAGTCGTTAAGCGTCTGCCTTTGGCTCAGGTCATGATCCCAGCGTCCTGGGATCGAGCTCCGCATCGGGCTCCCTGCTTCGCGGGAAGCCTGCTTCTCCCTCTCCCACTCCCCCGTTTCTGTTCCCTCTCTCGCTGTGTTTCTGTCAAATAAATAAAATCTTAAAAAAAAAAAAAGATTATAAAGGCATGGAATTAGAGTGGATATTAAGTAATGACAAAAATATGAGGCTTTAGCCAAGACTCACTCATCCTGTAGGGTGCTGAGCTATAACTTTTTTGTGTTCATTAAGGGAATAGTTAATGTCAGAAATAACACTGGTACTATAGAGTGCTTACTCGAGTGGAAACTGAGAATAAGGGACTAGATTTTTATTTATTTTTGTGTCCCCACAAGGATTAACCATTTTATAGAAACTGAATACCATATTTCACTGATTCTGAGACGCAGTTTTACATCTCAAATTGGGATATTTTACAAACTATGCCTTAGCCCTTTTTTTTTTCCTTTTTGGTATGTAAAATAATGTTGCCTCTTTCAGTGATGACTTAAATTCAATAAAATATTTTTTAAATTGACTGGTCCCCATTGCCAAGAAAGAAACCTTTTCAACCCCTCTCTCCTTCAGTCTTTATTTTTACTTAACCTCTTTTGAGTCCTGGCCATAGTCCTTAAGAGGCTTCAAAGTCTGCTAATATGAAGATATATGAACTAAGTTTTCTTTTTTTTTTTTTTTTCTTTTCAAAGATTTTATTTATTTATTTGACAGAGAGAGAGAGGGAACACAAGCAGGGGGAGAGGGAGAAGCAGGCTTCCCGCAGAGCAAGGAGCCCGATGCGGGGCTCGATCCCAGGACCCCGGGATCATGACCTGAGCCGAAGGCAGACACTTAACCGACTGAGCCACCCAGGCGCCCCTGAACTAAGTTTTCTGATTGGTTTTGCTGTGAAACAAGTAGGTTGACAAAATATGGTCCCTACAAAACCAGTAAAAAGAATCTTTTGTTGTTCCTCAACTACAAATAAGTGTTTCATTATAGCATTAAAATGACTTCTATACATTTGCCTGACAAAATGGTAATTTTTCCAGCTCTGAATTTTTTACAGAAGATGGATCTTTAAAGGAGGTACATAAAATAAATGAAATGTATGCTTCTTTACAAGAGGAATTAAAGGTAAGTTAACATATCAAACACTTAAAAGACTACTTCTGGAGTTCATATCAAATTGATAACTGAAATCTTTTAGGGATAACTTGACATTTGATTAGGTTTATATTTTTGTAGTAGTTTAGGTTCGGTAAGACCTCAATCTCAGTGGCCTACAAAAGCAAAAGTTCAGTTTCATTCACATTATATCTTGGCTGCAGCTCTCCTCTTGTTCTAAGTGCCATCTTCATTCTAGGATCCAGACTGAAGGAGTAGCCCTTATGTGGGACATGCTCTTCTCATGACAAGGGAAAAAAGCAAGAAAGCTGGTAGACATTCACAACAGCTCTTAAAACTTCTCAGAGCCGGCATGTCACTTCCACTCACTTTCATTGGCCAGATTATATATCCCTATTTCATGGCGGTAGACAGGGATATATAATTCCTTTTACAGGATAAAAAGGGAAGCAGTATTTGAGAACAGAATAATCTACCACAGGACTGAATTCAGTCTCATTTAATCAGTTGAGTAGTAGACATCAAGATGGGACTAGCCATGTAAGAGATTAGGCCTGAGAAGGATAAAAGGGGGGAGGAGCAAGAGTGGGCAGAGAGACTTGTAATGCTGAGTCTGACACCTGAGAAGGGACAGGAAGGAGGACAGTTGGGTAGAGACAGTTTTAGACTGCAGGGCCGGAGTGGTTTCAGCCAGGCTGATGGGAGTCTCAGCAAAGTTTTCCTACTGGAATGGATTTGTACCAATACCCCACTGTGCTCAGTCAGTTAAGAGCAGCCTCTGGCTTCAGTAGTGGACCCAAAAGGATGGTAGTTGGGGCTGTTAGTCAACTATGCTTCCTCCAAATGGAGATGTGGGTAGTATATTCCATGGCCACCATACTCATCAACAAGGCACATTAAGAGAAGTAGGGTTAATACATTTTATACTACTAATATTGCTCACTGTTTTTTAATGTGAATGATAAAATGGGAATTTTAGAAACTAGAGAAACATCCAGAATCCCATCATTGTAGCATAACCATTTATACTTTGCCATATTTTCTAATTTTTTGTATATATGTATAAAGTATATACATACTTATACATAGTTGACAGTGATGGGGACTTACAAATTTGTGTCATTTTTATTTGCTGTCATTAAGCATTTTTCATTTCAAAAGCATTAAGCATTTTTGTTACATATTCTTTAGTTCTTTTTAATGGCAGTGTATTTCATATAGCAATATATTAGAACTCTTGTGTCAGAGTACTAACTCGGGCTAAAATAGGGGATGTAGAGGTATATTACAGGAACTGTAGGCAGAAAGCAGCTGAGCTTCAGGAAGGAATTGGAACCAGGAGCCGGAATGTCATCAAACTTACTTTTTCCCTTTGTGTCTGCACACTGCCTTCCTTCATAGTACCTACAGATCTGTTTGTTCATTCACTGGCTAACCAGAGAACAGCATTTAGATCTGTTCAGAAGATTGGGATTTGCCAGCTGGCTGTGTGGTATCTCTGCTTGGGTCAGTTAGGGTGGAAGTTGGTAAAGGGGTTACTGGTGAACTTTTATGGCATGGTGGACAAGATCATGAGAAATAGGCTGGGCAGATATCCTAAAATGTATCCATTTTAAAACTAAGCATGAAGAAGTAAAACTAACATTCTAAAACAAGATGTAACAATCTGTTACCCTATAATTGGAAATAAGTAACTTTTGATTTGATATTATACTAAGAAACATCATCTTATATAAATTTTTATTATTTACTTAAAATATATTCCCAAAATGAAATCACTGAGTCAAAGGGTATTTTAACTAGTACTTAAAACTGATGACAAGTAAGGCCAGTCTGCTTTTCAAAAGTTGTTACTTTCACACTAATTAAAAATCTGTAATAGCTTTTTCATAACAATAAAAGTTACTTTTCCTTATTGTCAGTTTCTTAATGTTAAATGTTTGCAGTAAGCAAGCATCTCTCAAAATACTACAGTATTTTTTGTTCCAAAGTGACTGAAATACCTTTTTTATTTCTGTGTATTATCAAGCAGGTATCACTGGTGTGATAAAGCTGTGTATAAATGGAAAGTTAATACGTCTGGAAAGCATTTTATAATCTATAAAACACCATATAAGTGCTTGTTGAGTTCCTTCAGAAAATAGCAAAATAAAGTGTTTATAAAGGCTAATAATACTTGATACTGTGTACCACAAAGGACTGTCTATCATTTGTGAACCTAGCTGTAGTATACAACTTGGATTTTGTCTGTGCCCTTATTTTATTTTGCAGAGTATATGCAAGAAAGTAGAACACAGTGAGCGAGCAGTAGAGAAACTACTAAAGGACGTAACCAGACTGAAACGGGAAATTAAAAAAAGAAAACAGGCACAAATTCAAGCAGCACGTAAGTAAAAAGTTCACATATCACTACCTTCTGTGCTTTAAAAAAAAATTCTGTGTGAATTATGCTTTAAAAAAAAAATTCTCACTGATGTGAATTATGGATGAGCTGGCTATACTAACTGATCACCTACCTTAGGGTTAAAAATAATTGTTTTATTAATACTATTAAATCCTACTAAACAAAGAACTTGGTATTACTGTAGCTATACTATATTGTTGATATTAAAAAATACAACTTAAACTTTTAGAATACAGTGGCATATAAATTAGTATTTGGGATTATGCACACCATTTTTCTGTTTAGAGGATCTGATATAACTGTTCAGTTAAAGTCTTTTTGACTTTACTAACAAATAGATTACAAAAGCTTTGTAGGACAAATACGGTATGTTGAACTATTGTTTTATTTTGTTTAGGAGAGAACATCGAAAAAGACCCTCAGGAGAACATTTTTCTTTGTCAAGCTTTACGGACCTTTTTTCCAGATCATGAATTTCTTCATTCATGTGTTATCTCCTTGAAAAATAGGCATATTTCTAAAAGTAGCTGTACTGCCAACCACCAACTCAATGTGATAGACAACCTGACTTTAATGGTAGAATACACTGACATTCCTGAAGCTAGTCCAGCTAGTGGTGCCCTGCAAATGATTAAACGTAAAGCTTTAGATACCAATGATGGATGGCAATTCAAGAAGTCACGGCCATTAGAGATACAAAACAAACCATCTAAAACAGATACTGATAGTAGTAATCAAGAAAAAGCATCCACAATGAGCAGCCCCGAAACAGATGAAGACATTGAAAAAATGAAGGGTTGTGGTGACTATCCACAGTCTCCTACATTTTGATCATTTTAGGCCAAAAGGACATTTTTAATTGGCTGAAGGGTAAAGCCATTTATATTGTTTTTACTATGTTCAGGTGTTTTGCAGTAATACATAAGTTCTATTACATTTATTTTTTAAAGCACTTTATTTTAAAACCATAACCTTTTTTTGTCCCCCTCCTTTGTTAAAGATTTTAAGTAATTCCTACACCCAACATGGAGCTTGAACCTACAACCCCAAGATCAAGAGTCGTATGTTCCACCAACTGAACCAGCGAGGCGCCCCCGTTTTTTGCTCCTTATACGAAACTGTTGAGGGAAAAGCTTAAATGATATTCTTTTAAACTTCTATAGCATTCTTTAGAATTGGAAAAGAAAGACTAACCTTATTTTCACAATAGAAAAAAATGTCTAAAGTTAATATGAAATGTATTTCATTTTTATCTAAGGCACCGTAATTCCTGCTCCTTAAGTTACAATAAATGGCTAGGTTGCCAGATAAAATGCTGGACAACATGCAGTATTAGGCATTGAAAACTTACTCATTGTTTAAATGAATAATTGAATTTGAATCGGAGTTCAAATTTAATCACATGTCCTATATTTCTATTTGCTAAATCTGGCAGTTCTAATTATGGCAAAACTGTAATGTGGCACAAATATCTCTCCCTAGTCTAGAGTCTTCTACACAGAATTGAGTGAATCCAGAATTTGAGAACAGAACAAGCCTGATAATGCAGCGTGTCTGAGATCAGCAGCTGGTCAAGTAGCTGAAAAGGCCAATTAAAGTGGGACTCAAAAATGTACATATGTGTATAGGTATACATATGTCTATCACCGAGATTTCATTTTAACATAAAGCAGAATTGTACATTCATTTGTCAATCTTTTGTTGTAGGATTAGGAACTTTTCTGAGTATGCTGGTGTTCCAGTATAAATCACATCCATTATTTAACCTTTACAATTCCCAGTTTTAGTTTCTTTAAAGTGAAGAATTTAAAGAAACTTGAAAAGCAACCTGAGTACAAAATGCTTTTTTTTTTTTCATTTCACAGCACCCTCCTACTTCCAACCTTCTTCAGCTGTCCTAACCACACCTAACTTGACAACTATTTTCTTAAAACTATTTTTTTATTTCAAAAGCATTTACTTCATTTTCATTGCAGCAATAACTTTAATGCTCATACTTCATCAATACAATGACAGACAAAACTAACACAGGTCTGGGAACAAAATAGCTGCCTCTTGGCAATGCAAAACTCAACAGGTTTGAAGAGTATGGGCTTCAGTATGATTTTAAGGATGTAAAGCTCCGGTTTAATCCAGTGAATTGGTTAAGTGGAAGTTGGCTAAGAGAGCTTTTACTGTGTTTTTTGTATTTGTCTTTTCCATAATTTTGAGAATTTTCCACAAAGCCTATACATCATATAGCCTTTATGTTTTACTCACTGGATGAAATGCTGAACACACACTTTGACCATTGCTTTTCCATCTGCTACTTCCTAAGTGACAGAACAAATTCATAGCTACTATCAAAACTATCTTTTATCTATTTTAACATGCATTAGTTACCATGGGGTGCTAATGAAGCCCATATAACAGCAGGGATGTTCTGTACAAATAATGAGTTTCTGTTGGGATCGTTTAACTGGTTACCTAAGAAGCACTGCTGTGTAACAACACCAGGCAGAGGGAGGGGTAATAGGTTGGCAGTCTGAAGCCTAACTTAAAAATAACCACAAACAGGGGCGCCTGGGTGGCTCAGTCAGTTAAGTGTCTGCCTTCGGCCCAGGTCATGATCCCAGGGTCCTGGGATGGAGCCCTGTGTTTGGCTCCATGCTTTGCGGGAAGTCTGCTTCTCCTGCCCTCCACTCCGCCCCCCTCCCCCACCACCTTTTCTCTCTCACATGCTCTTCCTGAAATAAATAAAATCTTAAAATAACCACAAACATCACTAGAGCATATAGAACATCACAGAGAACATAGATAAGGACTAAATGCAACCAACAAATGAACTGCTGGAGGAGGTTATTGAGAACACAAGACTGCTGGTTGACCTGGCAGCCGGACTGAAGCAAAGGTTCCACTTCCGTCCTTGGAATGTACATTTTGCCTACTGTTCCCACAGTGTGAGCTGTTCCAAAGACATAGCCTTGAGAAAGTAAGATGTTGACACCATATGGATTGTATGTGTGACTGAACCCAGTTAAGGCCTCAGTATAAACTTTTAAGACTAGCAGGCAGGTGCAGAGATGTACTTGTCTTGCGGCCACCCAAGACAAACTTCCTAAGTAAGTTCCCTTGCTTATTACTAAGCCTGCCACCTACAAATAGGGAGTTGCCTGCCTCTTCAGTCTCTCCCTGCCCTCCATGTACCAGTTTATGAACCAACTGCTAGACAAGGTACTGCAGAAGCAATAAGTAACCAACATACGCGACTATCTTCTGAAGACAATAGCTTAAGATTTTTCAAAGACTGCTTACAAGAAACAGGCTTTCATCCAAAGTTAAATTTGCTGAAACACTATAAAGAGGTAATGTATTTGGCTTATACTTGTGCACAATGATCCATCTTCTTTGAAGAAAGAAATGCTAAATTTTCCATCAGAGAACCTTGCTGAGGTCCGTACTGGCTTAACTTCCATAAATAAGTTTGATGACCCAAGTTTCAGGGCATTAAATGAAGGAAAAGGGTCCTCATAGATCATTTTTCCCCAATTATTCTCATCTTTGGCAATTAGTTTGTATCACTGGAGTAAGATAGTTCTAGACCATTTGCCAATGGATCATTTTTAAAGTATGCTACCAGTTTTAAGATAGACTAGCCCAGGAGTAAATCTGAGGTCCTGCAACTGCATCACTATCCATCCCCATGTAACATCTCTACAAAGGGAAGATCCTAGCCAGGCATATTTCTATTTACTAGTTAGAAAATCTGAGCAATTTTAAATCCACACCCTGCCACATGGAATTTGTGTATAATACAAGCATTCCACCTTCATGCACCCATATCCCTAAAATCCCATTTACAAGACAGAATCTGGGCCTAAAGTAAAATTCCAATAGAAGTCATCCTTTCCATATATTTTTTAAAAGACTTTATTTATTTGACACAGATCACAAGCAGGGGGGTGGGGGGGCTGGGTTGCAGAGGGAGAGGGAGAAGCAGGCTCCTGGACGAGCAGGGAGCCTGATGTGGGGCTCCATCCCAGGGTCCTAGGATCATGACCTGAGCCGAAGACAGACACTTAACCGACTAAGCCACCCAGGCGCCCCCATCCTTTCTGTATTTTAAATCCCCATGAGTTTTATGAGCTAACTAGGGACCATCCTACAGTACCAGTTTTTTAAAATTTGTATGTATATAAAATAATGAGTATTAACATTTTAAATAACTCATGTTCTTTAAAAGTGAAGAGGAAGCTTTACTTTTTCCTTGTAAGATTTCAATTATTAAGAACTAACTTAAAACTTCAGTTTGAAAGGATTGAGCCGATTTTCTACCCAAAGGTTATTAAATCTTGTAATTTGAGTCAATATTAGAATCAAACAACCATTTATTGTAAAATATGTTTATTGATGGATGTTAAGACTCCTATAATTTATTCCCGATACTTGATGTTACAAACTTTAGGGTCTTTGAGATATGCAGGATCCTTGTATGTAACTGGCATAAACCCTGTAAAAGATAATGAAAGTGCTTCACAAAAGATAATGAGCAAACTTTTGATTGGTCCAATTCAGTTTTTCAGGTGCTCTTACCCATTATTTGAGCTCTCTTAATTGCTTTTGTGATTTCTTTCTGTTTCTTCCCACAAAGACCTATAAAAAAATGCTTTCATATTCATAAAAAATGTCAACACTCAAAATGCATAGCAACTATCTTAAGGAAAGGTTGGAAAACCTATAAATAGCCAGGCAGTAAATATCTTAGGCTTTGCGGGCCATACAGTCACTGCTGTAATTACTCTGATGTAGCTCACAAAGCAGCCACAGGCATTATGTAAATAAGCTACTTACAAAAACAGGTGGCAGATCTAACTTGGCCTATAGGCAAATAGGCCCTGGTTTAAATAAGTAGTCTAGGAACGATTACAGTATACTCCAAAACATCAACACAATTTTCTAAAGCCCTAGTTTTTTACATGTTGTCTGCCTATGGTTAACTCTGAGCATAAGAAGACGTGTAAAATAATAATCCTTTTGGGCTACGAAGAGGCTTTCTCAAAAGTACCTCTAGTATCTGGTCTACTAGTGATTTATAGCACAACTTGAAAATTTGACATTTTTCTTAAATAGATTTGTATAATTTTTGTAAGTTGCTATAATAGAAAACAAAATACCTGTTATGTGCCTTCCATAAATGCATCCAGTAAATGGAGAAATAAACTGGGACAAAAGCTGTTTTGAGTTATATTTGGAGAAGAAAAAAATTTATATCAATACATTTGTTCAACCTTGATTATGTAAATTTAAAAAATTATATATCACTGTCCAGTTATGTAAAGGTTTATAAATAAATTTCAAACTTCATAAAATACTGAACTATGCTCATTCTATTAATAGGTCATTTTTTTAAGTGAAAAAACTGATTACTAAGTTAACATCCAGTATGATGAAACAGATTAATGTACACATTTTTTTCAGTGCTAAAGCTGTTTTCTTGAACTTTTCCACAGATACTTCCTAAAATACTATTGCTTGTAATAAGGCACTAAGCATTTCATCTGTCACGATAGGCTATCGCACTATATCAGACTACAGTGAGGTCTTCCAAGAGGTACAGGTCCATCAGGCCACTTGCCATAATTTATGTTTTATTAAATTCTTTAGTACTTTTCAGGTACCAGGCATTGTTCCTGGCACTACACATAATCCTTCTGATAAGATGCATCTTTAAACTTCTTGGTTTTCACCTAAGGCAGCTACTATCACTTTTTGCTGCTGTCTGTATACTTCACTACAGCACCATTCTCTCCCCCAGATTTTCCACTTTTAATCTGCTCAGCCCTACAACAGATAAAATTACATTTAAAGCAGTGATATCGGTAGTGTTATTAGTACAGAGACCAAATTCACCAGAGGAGATTTTTCCAAACTATTCAACTCTACCAACTAAGAATCACTGCATAGTGAGCTATTAGTGACCTCCAGGGCAGACAAGAAAACACCTGAAATAATAGCAGATGAAGGAGAGCTAAAGGGCTCTCATTAGAATAAAACAGATGACTTATACATAGAAAACCAGATTTGAAATTACGAAGTTACTAAAACAGGTGCCTCTACACAAAGCCTGTTAGTTATGACTAACAAAGCAGCAAATCCTAAAATCAAATATCACAGTGAAGTAAAACCTTATCTCACCTGTACATTCTTATAATCTACACGTTTTCCACACAAGATACATTTTTTAAGAGGCTCCTTATAAGGATTTTCCATTGGAATGGGCTAAAATAAAGGAAAGAAAAAAGATAATACAGTTTAATGTGTTAAATTTAAAAAAATTAAATCTTAAGGTTACCACATTTAAATCTATCCAAAGGATTAGTTGTACCTTTCTTACTATGAAAAAAAAAATACAACAGCTTGGCTTATATAAGAAAAATCAGTGTTTCTGAAAAGGAGTCACCATTTTAAAGATTTCAGTGTGTTCATACATATTTTGTACAAATACTCTGGTTTGGCTAAGGAGGAATTAAATCATGGAGGAGGATTCTGGGATAAAATACAATCCTTGGAGAAAACAAAGGTTTATGGGAGGATAACTTTTATGGTCCCAGATTGCTTTACACATTTATGTCAGCCTTTTTGTTTTCTCTGTCTTCATTACTGCCTCTAATGCTTCTGCCACATGCCTCCCTTCTATAATCAGTATACTCAAGTCTCCAATCAAGAGATTCTTAATCTAGAAATGGCTTTGAAGTCCATAATCCACTGTAGTTGTATGCAAAATTTCAAATGAAAGAGACTGTGAGCTTTATTCTGAGAGCCCGTACTTCATTTAGAGCCTCAGGGGAATTGATGACCTAGAAAAGAGCTCTAGTAATTTCTTTTACTCCCTTGAACTATGGTGTGCATTAGATGACAAGAAGGATGCTCAAGGGACTAGAGGACTTCTGTGTTTTCCAACTCAAACTTGCTTAATCCAATTTACATGCAGTTCACTTATAATGACTATGTTCCTTCTTTACACTGCGCTAAGTGCTTTGTATGGTTTGATTAGTGTCAAATCATCTTTGCAGGTAGCAAGAAAACTTACACTGGCTAAGCCCAATGCTAGTACTTGAAACCCATAAAAATACACCTACAGGCTAATAGAAACTATTTAATGTCCCGGTATAAAACTTCAATTTTGATCCTTCATTTACTAAAACACCCACTCCCCACCCCCAGTAATGAATAGGACAAAGAATTGAATCTGAAATGGGGAAGAGAACCAAGGTACAGGTAGACTTTGTAATCCCTCTGTTGGATATTCTGTAATTACTGCACCCACCAAAACTATCTTTTTTAATTTCCAAAGCACATATCCTTAAATTTAAGATCTAAGAAGAAAAATACAGTGTTACACAAGCAATGCTTCTTGTTAGGACTCTAGGAATTCTTACTTCAAAGCTCACTTAAGTGACAATTCACCAATGAACTGTAATTTTCAAACTCAAACTGATTATCATCTTAATCGTTTTGTCGTATTCAAATAGCTAAAATATAAGAATTTGGTCATATTTGCAAATGCCTTAAAAAGAAGGAAAAAAGTCTTACCAGGTCCTCATTGCCGGCTACCTGTTTATATTGTGAACAACTTCTCCACAGCACTGCAATTAAATAAACAGCAACAAACCAATTCTTTTTATCAGCTCAGCAACTAAAGAAAGATTTTTGTCTTTATGGAAGCAAGATGAATCAAAGGATAGAACATAAAAGAAAGGTTTTATATTCACATACAACAACTGGATAAAAACCTTTAGATGTGAGGCAGAATAAGATTTAAGATGAATGTGCTTTCCAAGGCTTTGGGGAAAGGGCATGTATTTCTCCACCCCTACAAACCTCTCACCTGCTCTGTTCATGAATTTTATTTTCCCCTCCATGGTTAGAGACAGATTTTAAGGCAAACACTTAAGGGGAAAGCAATAGAAAGGCACTGTTATACCAAAGGGAAAATGTAACAGACCTCCTAAAGAGTAGTTATTGACAGAGAAGATAAAATGCAGAAATGAAAGACTCAGGAGCCCATGTCACAATTGCGCCCTGATCTGGGACCTTAGACAACTCCTGTAATGCACTACCGGGTGACTCTGGAAATGTCCCTTCCTTACCAACTCTACCTGGAGCTCTCAAGCAAGTTAAGTCCCTGCCTCTTTTTGAGAATCACGCGATCACTCTCTTTGTGTGTTTAAAAGGAAAATAGAAAGTGTACTAGATAACATTCACGCCCCCTTCTGCTTTATCACCCCCCTCCCTTCTGCTTTACAATACTAGTCATGGGGGCGCCTGGGTGGCTCAGTTGATTAATCGTCTGCTTTCGGCTCAGGTCATGATCTCAGGGTCCTGGGATCCAGCCCCACAACCCGCTCCCTGCTCAGTGGGGAGTCTGCTTCTCCCTCTCCCTCTGCCCGCCCCCCGCTCATGCTCTATCTCAAATAAATAAATAAAATCTTTTTAAAAATAAAATACTAGTCATTGGTCATTACAGATTCCCATCTCTCTTGGAGAAGCTCTTAGTCGCCTAAAAACCGGCGTCGTTGAGCTAATAATGACAACTCCACCAACCTAGTTAGCGCTACGGCAATGGCTGCAAAGAGTATAGGATATGGAAACTGTACCCGCGTGAGTCCCAGGATCTGTGAGGCAGAGAGCAGCCTTGACGAAATGCGTTAACTTTTTCCTCCCTAGACCACCGCAAACAGCAACCAAAGCCGCCATGGCTCCTCGCTCCTCCTCTTCCTTTCCTCTTTCCAAATCGTCCTGACAAGTCCCCGCCGGTGCTCTTCCCCTGTTGGCCCGAGTACTCGGTTCAAAGGTTCCGCGGGCGAACAAGAGAAGGGCCGGTAAGGTTTTCAATGCGCCTGCGCAGCATCTTTGCGTTCTAACCCTCACGGATGCAAGCCTGGGACACCTATGATTGGACAAGGAAAAGGCGGGTCCCTACGCTTCTGCCTCCGCTTCCGGTCTGAGAGCCCCGGCAATTGATTTGTGGTCTTATTCTAAGGTGGATGGAGAAGCTACCCGCGCCCTGCCCTCCTCTCCCTCTCCTCGGGGGTTTGGCGGCTAGGTCACGCGGGACGAAGTTCGGGCAGGGTCCTCGGCCCCTGCCATGGATGAAGGTGTTTCCCGCATCCGCCGGCGGGTGTCTGTCTGCAAAAGGGACCGTCCTAGCCTAGGGAGCGGTTTTGCCGCCCCCACCGCGGCCGAGCTCAAGCCGGGCGATGAGGAGGGGGAAGAGGAAGAGGAGATGATGGCTGGGAGCCGGCGGAGGAAAACCGTGGAGGTGCAACCGGTCGAGGTACAACCTCAGCTCTCAAATTCCGAGTTCCTTGTTTCATGGCCCACTTTGGGGGAGATGATACAAATCCAGGTCTCCTACCACGCATGCCCACTGAAAGAACACTAAGACCAGCTCTAGAAGCCAGGGAACTAGACACTCCAAAATTTTGGTTGTTCCCTTCCTACATGCAAACAGTGGACCAATTGTCTACTAGCCTTCATTTGCTTACCTCGACTTTGTTATCGCTGTTAATTCTCACTTGTGAGGTATTGCTTTGCTATCCTCATTTTTATATAGATCTCAAAGGTAGACCCCCGAGACATAGAAGTCGTACATGCAGCAAATAAGAGGCATGATTGCGACGCAAATCTAGATTTCCAAGTTACTGCTGCTCCTGCGGTACCAATAAAACCTATCATTTATCGCACACCCATTATGTACTGGGTACTTTGTTAAGCTATTTACATTATCTAGATTTGACAACAGAAATCAGGCCCTGAGAGGTCAAGAAACTGCACTTCTGTTTTCTTAATCACTTCACTATACTGCTACCTCTAAATTTACATCTCTTCTGTTGAGTAGACCATCCCAAGTCAGTGTGCAGACCCTCCCTTCCAATTCCTAATTCCTAAGAACAGAATCTCCTTAAGAGTGTCCAGTCGTTTTGTTACAAACCAGTTTCTGTAGATTGGAGTCTGGGAGGGGGAATGGTGCTGCAGTTACCTGAAACCTCTAGTGAGATGACATTCTAGTAGATGTCTATTGGTCTTGCTACCTTTTTAAGGATTTAACACTAGCTTAAGAATTAGGATCCCAGTATCACCATACCCTAGGAGTGCAGCTTGTGAAAATTACTTAAACACTCTGGCTTTCCTTTTCTTCATCTGTAAAATGGAGATGATAATATCCATTTCACAGGGTGATTTACATTTCGGTCTATGATCCATGTAATTATATACCTGGTATATATTTAGAGGTAGCAATATAGCTGAAACTTGTGCTCTTAGTGAAGCTAGAATTGACCATAACGCTTTTCGTTTTCTTTCCAGAATGACAGTGAAGAGGACATGTTTGGTGACTATGACAGCTTTGCTGAAAATTCTTTTTTAGCTCAAGTTGATGACCTGGAACAACAACATATGCAAGTTGCTGAACATAGGAAACATGCCTCAGACCTTAGCACTGAAGATCTTTGTTCAGAAAGCATCAAACACAACAAACTCAGCATTACTACTGTGGGCAACTTTACTGAATTAAAAATGGATGAGCACATAAAGAACCAGAGTAGGCATGAAGATGTCTCCATTGAACCTGATATTTTGTATGATGTACCTTCTTCACAGGTTTTATACTTTGAAAATTTGCAGAACTCTTCAGATGATTTGGGCAATCAGTCTACTAAAGAGAGGGATTGGAACGCATCCTCTCACAAGACTGTGAATGAGGAATTACCCCAGAATAACATAGAACAACACCAGCAAATTGATGATTCCTCTTCTAAAGTCAGAACTAGTTCAGAGGAAAATAGGAGAAAAAGTCTTAAAGAACATCTAAAAAGTGCCATGACTGGAAATGCCAAGGCCCAAACACCAATATTTTCTAGAACTAAACAGCTCAAAGAGACTCTCCTATCTGAAGAAATTAATGTTGCTAAGAAAACAATTGAGTCATCATCAGATGACCTTGGTCCTTTTTATTCATTACCCAGCAAAGTGAGAGACCTTTATGTTCAGTTCAAGGGAATTGAAAAATTATATGGTAAATGCTTTTTGCTGAAGTGAAAAAAATTTACCATTATTACCATATTACTAGTGCAAGTCAATAGAAAGCAGATGCTTCTGTGGTCCTATATCTCATCTGAAGACAAAAATATCAATCCTCTCAACCTTCCATCCCTAACCTGCTGCTACTGAACGTCTTTCCTTTCCTTCATGGTCACACTTCTCAAATCTATTATCCTTGCTGTCTCCCTTTCCTCACCTCAAGTAATTCCCAGCCCACTCTGGGTTCTAAGCTCTCACTTAAGGTCTAATGACGAGGGTGTCTAAATCCAATGATACTTTTGGTTCTCACTTGCCTGACTTCTCAGTAGCTTACATGACACAGTTGTCCAGACCCTTGAAACACTCACTTCTTGACTTCTTGACATTCCACGCTGGTTTTTTCATCTGACTGTCTAGCTGCTTCTCAGTTTTCTTAGCTGGTGTGTTTTTGGCTGGCTCTGTCTTCTGTACAAAAAGTTGAAGTTCCTTTGACTATTCATGGCCTGAGTGAAAGTGTCAATATTTGTAATACCATTGATTAAGACTAAACATCTTTAAAGACAGCTGAAGTTAAGTGCAAAGAGATAGTATTAATAACAATATATATTGTAATGTTTTTCAAAAATCCTGGGTTCTTGCCTATATTTCAGATATGTGTCATTTTAGACAAAGAAGGGACAGTTGCTGGCATCCTGAAAGATGAGCCTATCAACCAATCACTTCATAAGTATTTCTGAGACTCCTATGTTAGTGCCGTATGAACCATATGAAACCATGGTTCTCATCTCAGGGAGAAGACAATCAGGTGAAGAAGTAGAACTACAGGAAACAAAGTAACATAAGACTACAAGAGTCTAATAAATTCTAAATTGTGAGGTTTGCAGTTAAAGAGCTAAAGGTGTGTATTGCCCTTGAAGTAGGTGTTAACTTTCTTCCCTCTGCTCTTCTCCTAGTACCTTGTTCTTTATTTAATCTGCATCTCCTGCCAGACAGTACCTTGAGGACAGGGCTCTATCTAACTCATCTTTTTCTGATGTAACTAACGCAGTGCCTAGTACACCCTGGTAGGTTCTCAATTGCTGGGGGTTATCGGCCTAGTTAGGAATTCTGGCCCTGTCACTGAAACACAAGTTTTGCACTCTGAGCCTTAGTTCCTGATCTCTTAAAAAGGTATAATAATAACAATAATGGTTGTTTTGTAAGTTATGTTCTGCATCAAGGACATGCCAAGTTAGACTGTGGTAATGACTGTCCATAACTATATTAGTAGCTTCTAAGTAAGAACTTCAGTAAATAACAGGTTTTTAAATCACTTTTTACTTATAGATCTGGCTTGATGACATGACCAATTTAAAGCATAAATATGTATGCCACTTTTCATTGCACTAAAGCAGTGGTTCTCAAAGTGTAGTTCCTGGACCCCAAAGTCAGCATCACCTGGAAACTTGTTGAAATAGGCATTCTCAGCCTCCACCCTAGGCGTACTGAATCCACTTCTGAGGTTGTGACCTGGCAATTGGTTTTAACAAGCCCTCCCGGGGATTCTGATGTGCCAAAAGTTTGAGAACCACTGAGCTTGAGAACCTCAACCTTACTGTTATTTTTACCTTTTTAGTGTAGAATTGCATGCTTGATGTGTTTTATATAAATGTTCAGAACCAAGTTAATTTCATCCTTTTTTAATGTGTGAAGATAAGTGATATTACTAAATATTTGCTATTTTGGTCATTTTATACTTTAAAAATTTGAGTTGGATAAAATGCAGAAATGGTCAAGTTATATTTTCATACAAACAGCTTCATACAAGCAGCTTCATATATAATGGGTGATACCAGTCTGAAATATTTTTAATATGTATTAAATATTAAGCTTACGTATTTAAGTGTTTTTGAAATACTTTTAAAGTGGAAAAAAGTCATTTGCAAATATTTGGGAATCACCAAAATACAAGAAATTGAAGTCCCTTGGCTGTCATTCAGACGTAATTATTTTTAATACCTTTGTAACATATCCTCTTAGTCATTTTTTTAATTTAATTTTTTTGGAAAACATAATACATTCAAGTCCAACTTTTATATATTCTTTTCTAATATCTGTACATAATTGGGTTTATGCAATCCAATACACATTCATGATCTTTTACTTAACTGTATATTGAGCATGTATAAATCAATCTACCACCTGTTTTCAAGCTGCAAAGAATGATATCATATAATTGTACAATAATTCATTCAACTTTTACCCCTTGATGGCTCTTTGTTATATATAAACACTGCTATGGATGATGCATCTATGCTATGGTGAACATCTTGCACATAATCTTTATATGTCCTTGCTTTTATTTCTATAGGTGTAGAGACCTAGAAGTAATACTGTTAGATGAAAGACAGTGTGCAGTTTTGTTTTCAGTACTGTTAGTTTGCTTTCCAAAAGGATTATAGTATTTTATGCTCTCATCAACCACCACAAGAATGTCTATTTGTCCCCAGCCAAGTCGGCTCTGGATTTTCCATGTGTGAGGCTTTTTTTTTTTTTTTTTGGTAGTAGTAATTACTTGTATTTTATTTGTGTATTTATTTTGCCAACCCGTTAAGTAACAGTTGAGCGTCTTTTCATGTATTTCTCCCTGCTGTGTAATGTCTTATCATATCTTTTGCCTGTTTTTCTAGTGATAAAATACTAGTGCACGTTTTGAAGACTTTTGATGATCCACATTGTCAGATTAGCCTACAGAGTAGTTACACTAGTTTTCACATTATGTTTTGGATCTGATGTGATCCTTTTCATGAATTCCACCTTTCTAAATTGTGGAACTCCTAGATGGCCAGTTAATAATCTTAGTCTTTTATATTTTAAAGATTTTATTTTTGGGGTGCCTGGGTGGCTCAGATGGTTAAGCGTCTGCCTTGAGCTCAGGTCATGATCTCAGGGTCCTGGGATCAAGCCCCACATTGGGCTTCTCCGCTCAGCAGGGAGTCTGCTTCTCTCTGCCCCTCCCCCCTGGTTGTGCTCTCTCTCTCTCTCTCTCAAATAAATAAATAAAATCTTTTTAAAAAATTAAGATTTTATTTTTAAGTCATCTCTACACCCAACGTGTAGAGCTCTTATAACACTGAGATCAATAGTCACATGCTCTATCAACTGAGCCAGCCAGGCACCCTAATCCTAGCCTTTTGTGGTTTAAATATTCTTAGAGTTCAAGGTATTCAGACCAGAGTTCAGCTCCCTGTGAGAGCCAGTTGAATAGTCTTCCTTAGTGTGTATAAAACCTCATAGATTTTTCTTTTCTCCTCCTCCCATTTCTCTCTAGGATGTTGTTTGTGTGGATGAGAAAGGGAAGCTTACACAATCTCCTTGCAGAACAAAAGGAAAGGCTAGGAATTCACACAGATCTTTGTACTATCCTTTAGTTCTTCTGATGTCTCAGATAATGTCCCAGGCACTGTTGGCATCTTAGACCTAAGTGTGCAGCTAGCAAATAGGTGGCCCAGTTGCCCACTCCGCTGCCCAGGCCTGAAGAATTAAGACTCTCATTGGCTGTGTCCACTGTGCCCTGGGGATGTTTGACACTTAACATTGATGTATAATTACACTTGTCATTATGAGAAGATGGATATACAGAGTGGGATTTGATTTTTCCTTCTTAGGAAACTTTCTTGAGACTGAATTGCAGAAGGGGGAAAAATAATGTTTTTTTTTTTTTAATTCCACAGAATGGCAACATACTTGCTTAACATTGAATTCTGTGCAAGAAAGAAAAAACTTAATATATTCCTTGCCAACAAGTGGTGGAAAAACCCTCGTGGCTGAGATTTTAATGCTGCAAGAATTGCTTTGCCGGCGAAGAGATGTTCTAATGATCCTACCATATGTGGCAATTGTCCAAGAAAAGGTGTGATTCTTTTTTTAACAAACAGTATTTGCTAACATTTTCACATTAAAATATAAAAACTAGCATAACTGTAACAACTTTTCATTGAGAAGAGGTAGAGAATATTTTTAGGATGTGCAAAAACAAGTGTAGGACCTACCAAAAATCTCTTCTAATACTAGTTACCTATTGCAACAAGAATTTTATTTTTTTTTTCTAAACTGGTGGATTAAATTCCATTTTAATATTGATATTTAATATATTGATATTCAGCCTGCCTTTTCAAGCAGAAAGTAACCAATTATTTTATCAAAGTAAGTGAATTATTCTGGGTTGTTTTTGTTTTTGTTTTGCATCAGAGGAGACAGTTGAAATTTATTTCCACATCAATTATGTAGTTTAAAAGCTACATTCATTTTGCAAAGAGCCAACACAATAATTATGACATTTCTTAGATATATGTCTTATTTCCACATCGATTATGTAGTTTACAAGTTACATCCATTTTGCAAAGAGCCACGCATTAATTATGACATTTCTTAGATATATATGTCTTATCTGTGACCTTGTTCTCATTCATTGGTATTATATACTATTTTAGATTTTTTAAAAATCAACATGAACACTTGGTAATTGAGTTCTTATTTATCTGATTTTTTTGTTTGCTTATTTTAACTAATATTCTAGATTTCAGGTTTGTCAAGTTTTGGTATAGAGCTGGGTTTCTTTGTTGAAGAATATGCTGGAAGCAAAGGAAAATTTCCTCCAATTAAAAGAAGGGAAAAAAAATCTCTATATATTGCCACTATTGAAAAAGGACATAGTCTGGTGAACTCCTTGATTGAAACTGGAAGGATTGGCAGTCTGGGTCTGGTTGTTGTAGATGAGGTTGGTAACTACTTTTATAATTTATCAACATTTTTATTATACTAACATTATTATGTGTATCTGCTTAGTACCTCTATGAAAATAAGTAATTTATTTTAATATATAGGCAATACAGATTAATACATCTCATGCTTGGTAATCTTAAATTCAGTTTTGTGTCAAGTGTTTTTTGAAGAGTGAATATATGTGTGTATATATTCCAAATTTTATAATGGTATTTATGAATTCTAGATATGTCACGATGTTGCCCCAATCCTCATTAACCAAAATACCAGTGATATAATGCATATGTACTCTAGTTGCTATATCCAGAATGCTTAAGAGTTATAAAGCAAAGATTACTTCATTTCATATAAATACATGCGTGTTCTATATAGGCATTATATGCAAATTTACTTTTCTCCCTCCCTTCTTTTTTTAAATCTCAAAGTTGCACATGATTGGTGAAGGGAGCCGTGGGGCTATACTGGAAATGACCCTAGCAAAAATCCTCTACACGAGCGGTAAGTACTTTTTCAAATGTGGTCACTAACTGATTTATCCTCAGGAGGCCTATGAAAGACTTAATTCTCTCACTAGCTAGACTCTGTAGCCTCGAGTAAGATACTTAACCTTCCTGCCTTGGTTTTTTATTTCTAAAGTAAACATAAATTTTGGTTGGAAAAATGGTTATGTGAGCATAGTTGTGAATGTGAGGGAAGTTAACATTTAGACATCCCATATTATTATCCTCCACTTACTAGCTGTGAGTGCATAAGCATGTGACTCAACCTCTCTATTTCTTCATCTGTAAAATGGGGTAATAACGGTACCACCCTGAGGGGAATGGTTGGGAGGATTATATGAGTTAATGTAAAGCAGTCAGCAGTTGCCCAGCAAGTAGCACTCAGTAAGCATTTGTTGCTGCCGCCACCATCTATATCGTCCTCATCATACTAATAAAGCAGTAAATGTAAGTAGTCACCTTAAGGAGCTATTTGCAACATCAGATAGTCTTTCAGCGTATGTGAAATATTTGTTCTAAATGTCTTCTTTCCTATTTATGGATACACTGTTGCAATACTTATTAAGTTATATATTGCAATAGCTTATATATGGAAAAATTATTATAAAGGTCAAATATTAAGGATTATTTTTAAAATTTTGATAGCAGTGGTATTTAGGCAGGTTGTAGCACTTTATAATCATACATTTAAAAAGTTCTTGAGTACCTACCTTGTGCCAGGCACTATTTTAAGTGCTAAGGATATAGCAGTGAATAACACACAAAAAAATAACTCTGCCTTCCTCAAACCTGTATTTTAGTGAAAGTGAGTAGACAATAAGATAAACAAGAAAACATACAGTGTGTCAGATGGTGACAAATTCAATGGAAAAATATAAAGCAGAGGAAAAGAGGAGAATCGTCACCTACTTGTCAAATCCAGTGCACACTGACTGTCCTTGTCTTATTTTTCTTTAGCATTTGGTTGTTTATCATTTTTTTTTTCCTTTGAGTGCTAAAACACTCTCTCGGCTTCCATACTGTCTCTCTATGGGGGATCGTGTGTTACAACTGAGAGATAGCATAGCGTAATGGCTGAGGGCAGACTCTGGAGCTTGATTAAAATCCTGGCTCACTTTTAACTACATATGTGACCTTGAGCAAATTATATTAACTGCACCTCTGTTTCCTCATGCATCAAAAATAGATGATAGTGAAATGGGCAAAATTGGTGAGGGGGATTAAGAGGTACAAACTTAACAGTTATAAAATAAGTCACAAGGTTGAAAAGTACAGCATAGGGAATATAGTCAATAATATTGTAATAATGTTGTATGATGACAGATGGTAGCTATACTTACTGTGGTGAATAGTGTATTATGTATAGAATTGTAAAATCACTGTGTTATACACTGAAACTAATATAACACTTCATGTCAGCCATCCTTCAATAATAAAACATTTTAAAAAAAATGGATGATAGTAATAGATCCTGCCTGACTGAACTGCTTTCCTGTGGAAGGCAGCCATTTCATACTGCCCAGGAAGACATGCAGCTTCATGAGTTTCATTCCACCTTTGTTTAAAAAGAAAAAAAAGTTGATAACCTGATAGCAAGATCCCATAAAGGGCTTTATTTGGCAAGAGTTCAGGACCTATTCAGCCCTGCATCCTACACCATACATCTGCCTATAGGCATACCTGTGGGACATGTCATAACTCTTCATAACAGTGGTCCACAGAGTCAGCAACAAGCGTATTTATATTCATTATTGTTGCTTAGAAGTCTTGATTAAGATCCGACTTTATGCCCAGTGTGAAATTCTGTAAAATTCCAAATAGTAACTTTCAGGACACCTGAAAGTTTTCAGTCTTTGATTCACAGAATAATCCTCTGCTACTATCTTTGTATTTTTCTTACCTCCTCTCCACTCCCTCCTTTCCCAGATCACTCAGGAAGAATCCAGAACACAAAAAGGTTGCTAAATTACTATTATGTTACACTAAATAACATATTTTCCTCAATCCTTTGGATTTTTTTTTTAGAAACAACTCAAATTATTGGCATGAGTGCAACACTGAACAATGTTGAAGACCTACAAGAGTTCCTTCAAGCAGAGTATTACACCAATCAGTTTAGACCAGTATGTACCTAAGGTTTGCACTGTATGGATTTATGTCTATCATCTTACTTAGAAAGAAAAGTAGCAAACATACTGTTTTAAAAAAGTCTATAGAGTAGTGAAGGGGCATAATTCCCCTGACCATGGCTATATGCTAGTAAGAGTTTGTGTATAGAGAATATAAACTTTGGGTTTAGGGATCTTGGCTCGGGTCACTACTGTATCTTTAGCACCTGGAATAATGCTTGGCTCATGGGCCTTCAATGAATATTTATTGAATGAAATTTTCCAGACCCATTCTATTTTTCCACTTCTTATTCTGTAAGATAAATTTTTTTTTTTTACTTGGTCAAAAAAGAGAATCACCAAATTTTAATTTGAAATTTGATATTTTTACATTTTCACCAAAGAGGAGAATTTTCGAGAGATACTTTAATAGTCGAATTAGACACTATTCTTTTAAAAATGCAATGAACTGTATTTATAAACATTTTTTGTCAGGCACCTGGGTGATTTAGTTGGTTGAGCATCTGCCTTTAGCTCCGCCGCTTCGGGCTCCCTGCTCAGTGGGGAGTCTGCTTCTCCTTCTCCAGCTCTGCCCCTGCCCCCCTGCTCATGCACTCTCTCTCTTTCTCTCAAATAAATGGATAAAATCTTAAAAAAAATTTTTTTGTCTATAAATACTTAAAAATAATGTATTTATAATTAAAAATGATGGCTGATAAGACAGAAAATTTTAGGTCTTGAGGAATAACACAAATAAGACAGAATGTGAACATTGACTTATACTTCTTGTGACAAATACAGAAGTGTCTGGTTTCCTTTTAGATAGTGGCTGTTCAAAAGTATTTCTTCAAGGGTATTAATCTCTACTTTGATTGAAAGGGAAAAAGAGACTTAAAGAAATGGTAAAGAAAAAACTTTTACATTGAAGCATGTTTTACATACCTTAGAAAAACTACAGTTTTTGTATAGCTGTCCGTTTTTACACCATTTTACAAAATTTAAAACTCTGGAAAGAGGAATTTGTATATGGTATTAATTGCAAATGTCTTTCTAATTTAAGGTTGAATTAAAAGAATATTTGAAAATAAACAATGCAATATATGAGGTTGACTGCAAAGCTGAGAACAGCATGACTTTTTCACGTCTCCTTAATTGTCAGGTAACATTGATAACCCTTGAGTATGAAGTTCCCAGACTTGGTGCCCTGGGGCACCACAAAAGATTCACAGGGTACCATGGGATAGTTTAGATAATTTAAGAGAAATAGCTGGTGCTTGACAACTGTTGCGTACCATACAAACTGCTGGTTCAGTGTAGTTTCCAGTTTGGACATCAGATCACACTGTATTCCTTTCTATGATATTGTATCTTAGTGAAGATTTTGTTTGTTTTTTGCAGTTACTGTAAACAAATACCATGTGAAAATCAATGTGGGACGGAAAAAGAGTAGCCATGTCCAATTTGATTCTAAGATTTGAAAGACTATTGCAGTGCCCGGTTGTGCACACAGCCTGTTAGTGGGCTGTTACGTTTAAGAATGAGATAATACTTTCTTCATTCAACTGATGTGTATTATTTATTCAGATGGCTACTAAATTGTGAGGAAAAACATATTTAAGTTGTCTGTACCTAAATACCTAATAAACAAAGCTGTTAGGTATTTCTTTTGGCCGTGGAGCTCCATGAACCAAGAAAATCTGCAGACCTCTCCCTTAAATGTTTATTCATTCAGCAATAAGCGCTAAACAAGAAGAAACTTTTGTGGGCTATGTAGTTCAGATACTGGGTATGAAGATGTTAATGTCTGCTGTGTTAATGTTCTGTAGCTTGTATAAAGGATATTAAAAGGGGGAGAAAGAGATTTTACAATATTTTTAGAATTCTGTAAAGGTGTATTACTCTAAATCTGTATCTTAGTTTTCAGTAAAGCTGAAGCAAGTGAGATTTTTAAATAATTTTATATTTTTCTCTATGTCGGGTTCCTTGTATCTGCTTGATGAATACATTTTTTATTTCTGAAAATTTATCCTGTAGTATGATTGAATCTGTTTTTGAAAACTATTAGTAATAGTAAAAGTATATCTAGTTTATGTGGTCCTTTGTTATTAGGACCAATCTGTGTTTGTCTCTGTGGACTTCTTTGCTTTGCTCTGGTAGAGATGAACATGCAGTGGGGTTATTAATAACATTTACTGTTTTCACTTCTTTAATTTAAAACCAAATATACCTAACAAAACCCTTATAACCTAAAAGTGGGACTAAACATTTTGATGTTTCATCTGGGTTGCATCTTTTCTTTTAAATGATCAGATTTATTCAATGAGAAGTTCAAAATTATGGATGGTTTACTTACCTTTCAAAGCACTGTGGTAAAATGACAGGTTTTCATGGTTACTAACTACCTTGTTCCTACCTCTTGTTGTACAGTATTCTGATACTCTGAAAAAGATGGATCCTGATCACTTGGTGGCATTGGTGACAGAAGTTATTCCCAATTATTCCTGCTTAGTTTTTTGTCCCACTAAGAAGAACTGTGAAAACGTAGCAGAAATGATATGCAAATTTTTAAGCAAGTATGTTCATCTTTAAAAATTTTTCTGTTTTATTTTATCATGGTTTACATGCTGTGTATTGTTTATTCAGCAAGCACTTATTATTTCTTGTAGAACATTATATTAAGTTGCTATACTAAATTCTAAGGGCCCTAACCTTGAAGAAAGTTTGTGAAATTCATGTATGTGAAATAGCCAGAGAAAAATTCTAAGACTACATGTAAGTAAGAGAATGCTGACTAATATAATGGCTTAGATCAATGATTCTCAACCTTGACTGCAAATGAATCCTCTCAAGGGCTTTTAAAAATCCCAGTGCCCAGGTTACATCGCAGACAAATCAGAATCTCTGGGGGTGGGACCCAGGCATCATTATTTTGTAGAACTTTCCAGGCAGGTTCAACATGCAGCCGAGGTCAGCCACTGGCTAGGAGTCAGAGGACCAGTCGCTAATCACTGTGGATATGAATCATATCTTTATTTTTTTTAAAGATTTTATTTATTTATTTGAGAGAGACAGAGGCAGAGAGAGAGCACTCAAGAGGGGGTGGGGGGGCTAGAGGAGAGGGAGAAGCAGACTCCCTGCTGAACAGGGAGTCTGACTCAGGGCTCAATCCCAAGACCTTGAGACCATGACCTGAGGCAGACACTTAACCAACTGAGCCACCCAGGTGCCACATGAATCGTATTTTTAGTTTAACCTTCTCTTTAATTAAATACTGTTGCCTTTGTTTTCTTAGTAAACTTCACACTTAAGTTGTGTGGACATTTGAATTAAATTTGTTAAGTAATTAAGAAATTTATTAGTTTGTAATTTGATAGTATTTTATTTTATTTTATTTATTTATTTTTTTTTAAAGAATTTATTTATTTATTTGAGACAGAGAGAATGAGAGAGAGAGAGCACATGAGAGGGGGGAGGGTCAGAGGGAGAAGCAGGCTCCCCGCCGAGCAGGGAGCCCGATGCGGGACTTGATCCAGGGACTCTAGGATCATGACCTGAGCCGAAGGCAGTCGCTTAACCAACTGAGCCACCCAGGCGCCCTGTAATTTGATAGTATTTTAATATTGGCTCTGTTATACTCACAGAGATAAGTATAAAGTGATCTTGAATATGAAGAGTTCAGTTTTTTTATGTACCTGTGTCCCGTATGTAGTTTTATCGGATTTTTCAGACTTCTTTTTGGCCCCTTAACCAGTGCTATATCACCATAGACCATTATTACCCTGAATTCTTTTTTTTTTTTAAAGATTTTATTTATTTGCGAGAGAGAGAATGAGAGACAGAGAGCACATGAGAGGGGGGAGGGTCAGAGGGAGAAGCAGGCTCCCCTCCGAGCAGGGAGCCCGACGCGGGACTCAATCCCAGGACTCCAGGATCATGACCTGAGCCGAAGGCAGTCGCTTAACCAACTGAGCCACCCAGGCGCCCTATTACCCTGAATTCTAATCTAGTCAGCTCCCACCTCCCCTTCCAGTCCTACTGTCATGGATTGGTTTAATAGAATTAAATTTATTGACCACCCAAAGATCTAGATGTTTGGGATAGAGTCAAGGAGTTTTCCATTTCAGTAACTAATAGTCTGCCTTTACACTGATGATGTTCATTGTAAAAATCTAAGGAAATTGGGACGCCTGGGTGGCTCAGATGGTTGGGCATCTGCCTTCGGCTCAGGTCATGATCCCAGGGTCCTGGGATCGAGCCCCACATCGGGCTCTGTGCTCAGCAGGGAGCCTGCTTCTCCCTCTCCCTCTGCCTGCCTGTCTGCCTACTTGTGATCTCTCTCTCTCTCTCTGTCAAATAAATAAATAAAATCTTTTAAAAAAATAAAAAATAAAAATAAATAAAAAAAAAATCTAAGGAAATTAAATTATCATTGAGGTAGTCTCAGTAAATCATTTGTTTTAATAGTATAATTTAAGGGAATTTTAGCACTGGTTAAGTATAATGTGGAAATTTAGAGACTAACAGTTGACTGGAAGACATGCAATTTATTAGTTATACCCTTGACTTATTTTGCTTGTTGATGATAATAGTTTACTTGGATCATAAATGTTGATGTTTAACATTGAGGCACTTAAAAATTTGGTTTCCAGAACACTTAGTTAATGAATTGTAATGGATATTTACTTTTTTTTAAAGATTTATTTATCAGAAAGTGCACCCAAGCCGGGGGAGGGGCAGAGGGAAAGAATCTCAACCCAACACCCCACTGAGTGCAGAGCCCTACACAGGGCTCAGTTTCATGACCCTGAGATCATGACCTGAGCCTAAATCAGGAGTCAGATGCTCAACAGACTGAGCCACCCAGGCACCCCAGTACTTGATACTTTCTCAAAGAAATAGGACTTAACATTCTCTGAAGGAAAATTTCCTCTAAAATATATTTTGCATATTACTTGCTGCTTTCATAAGCTGAATATTCCGTGTATAGTTTAGCATCCTTTTTTGTGGCTATTGATTAAAAAATGGTGAACATTCTCCAGAATAGATCACATCCTAGGTCACAAATCAGGTCTCAAACGGTACCAAAAGATTGGGATCATTCCCTGCCTATTTTCAGACCACAATGCTTTGAAACTAGAACTCAATCACAAGAGGAAAGTAAGAAAGAACTCAAATACATGGAGGCTAAAGAGCATCCTACTAAAGAATGAATGGGTCAACCAGGAAATTAAAGAAGAATTTAAAAAATTCATGGAAACAAATGAAAATGAAAACACAACTGTTTAAAATCTTTGGGGTACAGCAAAGGCAGTCCTAAGAGGAAAGTATATAGCAATACAAGCCTTTCTCAAGAAACAAGAAAGGTCTCAAGTACACAACCTAACCCTACACCTAAAGGAGCTGGAGAAAAAACAGCAAATAAAGCCTAAACCCAGCAGGAGAAGAGAAATAATAAAGATCAGAGCAGAAATCAATGAAATGGAAACCAAAAGAACAGTAGAACAGATCAATGAAACTAGGAGCTGGTTCTTTGAAAGAATTAATAAGACTGATAAACCCCTGGCCAGATTTATCAAAAAGAAAAGAGAAGCGACCAAAATAAATAAAATCATGAATGAAAGAGAAGAGATCACAACCAATACCAAAGAAATACAAAAAATTGTAAGAACATATTATGAGCAAGTCTATGCCAGCAAATTAGATAATCTGGAAGAAATGGATGCATTCCTAGAGATGTATAAACTACCAAAACTGAAACAGGAAGAAATAGAAAACCTGAACAGACCTATAACCACTAAAATTAAAGCAGTAATCAAAAATATCTCAAAAAATAAGAGCCCAGGGCCAGATGGCTTCCCAGGGGAATTCTACCAAACATTTAAAGAAGAATTAATACCAGGGTGCCTGGCTGGCTCAGTCATCTGAGGCATCTGTCTTCCGCTTGGGTCATGATCCCAGGGTCCTGGGATCAAGCCCTGCATCGGGTTCCCTCGTCAGCGGGAAGCCTGCTTCGCCTCTCACACTCCCCTTGCTTGTGTTCCCTCTCTCGCTGTCTCTGTCTCTGTCAAATAAATAAATAAAATATTTTTTTAAAAAAGAATTAATACCTATTCTTCTGAAACTGTCCCAAAAAAATAGAAATGGAAGGAAAACTTCCAAACTCATTTTATGAGGCCAGCATTACCTTGATCCCAAAATCAGACAAAGACCCCATCAAAAAGGAGAATTACAGACCAATATCCCTGATGAACATGGATGCAAAAATTCTCACCAAAATACTAGCCAATAGGATCCAACAGTACATTGAAAGGATTATTCACCACGACCAAGTGGGATTTATTCCTGGGCTGCAAGTTTGGTTCAACATCTGCAAATCAATCAGTGTGATACAATACATTAATAAAAGAAAGAACAAGAACCATATGATCCTCTCAATAGATGCAGAAAAGCATTTGACAAAGTACAGCATCCTTTCTTTCTTTTTTTTTTTTAAAGATTTTATTTATTTATTTGAGAGTGAGCAAGAGAGAAACAGCGTGAGAGGGGAGAGGGTCAGAGGGAGAAGCAGGCTCCCCGCCGGGCAAGGAGCCCGATGTGGGACTCGATCCCAGGACTCCGGGATCATGACCTGAGCTGAAGGCAGTCGCTTAACCAACTGAGCCACCCAGGCGCCCCAGTACAGCATCCTTTCTTGATCAAAACTCTTCAGAGTGTAGGGATAGATGGTACATACCTCAATATCATAAAAGCTATCTATGAAAAACCCACAGCGAATATCATTCTCAATGGGGAAAAACTGAGAGCTTTCCCCCTAAGGTTGGGAACACGGCAGGGATGTCCACTATCATTACTGCTATTCCACATAGTACTAGAAGTCCTAGCCACAGCAGACAACAAAAAGAAATAAAAAGTACCCGAATCGGCAAAGAAGAAGTCAAACTCTCACTCTTTGCAGATGATATGATACTTTATGTGGAAAACCCCAAAGACCCCAAAAGAAAAACCCAAAACTGCTAGAACTCATACAGGAATTCAGTAAAGTGGCAGGATATAAAATCAATGTGCAGAAATCAGTTGCATTTCTATATACCAACAAAGAAGAAAGAGAAATTAAGGAGTTGATCCCATTTACAATTGCATCCCAAACCATAATATACCTAGGAATAAATCTAACCAAAGAGGCAAAGAATCTGTACTCAGAAAACTATGAAATACTCATGAAAGAAATTGAGGAAGACACAAAGAAATGGAAAAACATTCCATGCTCATGGATTGGAAGAACAAATATTGTGAAGATGTCAATGCTACCTAGAGCAATCTACACATTCAATGCAATCCCCATCAAAATACCATCCACTTTTTTCAAAGAAATGGAACAAATAATCCTAAAATTTGTATGGAACCAGAAAAGACCCCGAATAGCCAGAGGAAGGTTGAAAAAGAAAAGCAAAGCTGGTAGCATCACAATTCTGGACTCCAAGCTCTATTACAGAGCTGTAATCACCAAGACAGTATGGTACTGGCACAAAAACAGACACATAGATCAATGGAACAGAATAGAGAGCCCAGAAATGGACCCTCAACTCTATGGTCAACTAATCTTCAACAAAGCAGGAAAGAATGTCCAATGGAAAAAAGACAGTCTCTTCAACAAATGGTGTTGGGAAAATTGGACAGCCACATGCAGAAGAATGAAACTAGACCATTTCCTTACACCACACACAAAAATAGACTCCAAATGGTTGAAAGACCTAAATGTGAGACAGGAGTCCATCAAAATCCTAGAAGAGAACATAGGAAGTAACCTCTTTGACCTGAGTCACAGCAACTTCTTCCTAGAAACATCGCCAAAGGCAAGGGAAGCAAGGGCAAAAATGAACTATTGGGACTTCATCAAGATAAGCTTTTGGACAGCAAAGGAAACAGTCAACAAAACCAAAAGACAACTGACAGAATGGGAGAAGATATTTGCAAATGACATATCAGATAAAGGGCTAGTATCCAAAATCTATAAAGAACTTATCAAACTCAACACCCAAAGAACAAAGAATCCAATCAAGAAATGGGCAGAAGACATGAACAGACATTTTTCCAAAGAAGACATCCAAATGGCCAACAGACACATGAAAAAGTGCTCAACATCGCTCGGCATCAGGGAAATCCAAATCAAAACCTCAATGAGATACCACCTCAGACCAGTCAGAATGGCTAAAATTAATTTTAGTCAGGAAAGTCAGGAAAGGACAGATGTTGGCGAGCATGAGGAGAAAGGGGAACCCTCCTACACTGTTGGTGGGAATGCAAGCTGGTGCAGCCACTCTGGAAAACAGTATGGCGGTTCCTCAAAAAGTTGAAAATGGAGCTACCTTACAACCCAGCAAGTGCACTACTGGGTATTTACCCCAAAGATACAAATGTAGTGATCCAAAGGGGTACATGCACCCCAATGTTTATAGCAGCAATGTCTACAATAGCCAAACTATGGAAAGAGCCAAGATGTCCATCAACAGATGAATGGATAAAGAAGATGTGGTGTATATATATATACAATGGAATATTATGCAGCCATCAAAAAAAAAAAGAAATCTTGCCATTTGCAATGAAGTGGATTGAACTAGAGGGTATTATGCTAAGCAAAATAAGTCAATCAAAGAAAGACATGTATCATATGATCTCACTGGTATGATAATCTCAGGAAACAAACTGAGGATTGCTGGAGTGGTGGGGGGTGGGAGGGATAGGGTGGTTGGGTGATAGACATTGGGGAGGGTATTTGCCATGGTGAGTGCTGTGAATTGTGTAAGACTGATGAATCACAGACCTGTACCTCTGAAACAAATAATACATTATATGTTTAAAAAAAAAAAAAAAGATAGCAGGAGGGGAAGAATGAAGGGGGGGAAATTGGAGGGGGGGCGAACCATGAGAGACTATGGACCTGAGAAACAAACTGAGGGTTCTAGAGGGGAAGGGGGTGGGAGGATGGGTTAGCCTGGTGATGGGTATTAAAGAGGGCACGTACTGCATGGAGCAGTGGGTGTTATACGCAAACAATGAATCATGGAACACTACATTAAAAACTAATGATGTTAATGTATGGTGATTAACATAATAAAATAAAATTTTAAAAAAAATGGTGATTCATGTTTTATGCATACTATTTGATAATATTCTGTAATTTACGTGTAGCTGAAGTAAAATCTAGAGCTAAATGTCTTCTGGTCCAAGCAGTATCTTTAAAACATGATTTCTTGGGCGCCTGGGTGGCTCAGTTGGTTAAGCGACTGCCTTTGGCTCAGGTCATGATCCTGGAGTGCCAGGATCAAGTCCCGCATCGGGCTCCCTGCTCGGCAGGGAGTCTGCTTCTCCCTCTCCCACTCCCCGTTTGTGTTCCCTCTCTCGCTGTGTCTTTCTCTGTCAAATAAATAAATAAAATCTTAAAACAAAACAAAACAAAACAAAAACATGATTTCTTGAGAGTCCTGGGATATCCACTCTATCGTTATTATTTGCCTCCTTATCATAAATGTCACGGGAAGCTGGTGCAGTAAAACCACCTCGGCAGTAAAATACAGCTCTATGTCTGTTTAAGTGCAGAGACTGAAACAGGTTTTTCCCAATTGATTGTCTCAATCTCAAGGAAAATTATCTTTTTTAAAAGCTGTCACTACCTTTGACTTCTGAGTCAAGAACGACTTTTAAACACCATTTGCCAACAGCTGCCAAAGCTCTAGTCATACCACTTTCCCTAACAATTTCCCCAAAAATGATACCACAGTGCTTTCTTGGTCTAGAATTCAGGCTGGGATCCAACTTACTTCTCCATCCTTATTTCTTTGTTCTTCATTCACCTTGCAGCTCATCCAAACTACTTCTCTTTGTTTATGCTTTGAATTTCTCATTTCCGTGCCTTTGATCATGCTTCACCCTCTGCCAGGAAAGGGCTCTTCCCTGCCCCCTTATTGTCACCTCTCTGACACTCGTTCTTCAAGAGCCAACTCAGATCTCAGTTTCTGCCATGAAACCCTTCCCCGTGTAACCATGTCTTACCCAGTGGTCAGTTATAAGTAGTGTCTCCTTTCTCTAAAATTATATGGTAATTATCCATATTTTCAAATGACATAGGACGTCATTTCTTGAGAAGAGTTCATCCCACCCCTTTCATAGCCCCACACGCTGACTGGAAAGTGATAACAGAGTCTGCTCCTCCTTCCTCAGCTGTCATTTCTAATTCTTACACCCATGACTCCTGACCACTCTTCATTGTTCTTTTTTTATCTCCTTGCACCCTGTTTCCAGCTTTTTTTTTTTTAAGATTTTTTATTTATTTATTTGACAGAGAGACAGCGAGAGAGGGAACACAAGCAGGGGGAGTGGGAGAGGGAGAAGCAGGCTTCCCGCTGAGCAGGGAACCCAATGTGGGATGTGGGGCTCCATCCCAGGACCCTGGGATCATGACCTGAGCCGAAGGCAGATGCCCAACAACTGAGCCACCCAGGCGGCCCTGTTTCCAGCTTCTTATACAGTTATTGGCCTTCTACCATAAACATCAGAGTAATAGAGCCAGGACTCTTTCTTCTTTCCATGAAGCACACTGAAACAACACAGGCTGTGGCTATGACATGTACATCGTAGACTGTATTTATTTGCTACTGGTATTCAGAAGTCAGTTATTAGTTGCACTTAGTCTTTCAGTCCTTTCTCTCTTTTCTAAAAGGAATTTAAAATAATAGGTACTTTTTTTTTTTTGAAGATTTTATTTCTTTATTTGACAGATAGAGACACAGTGAGAGAGGGAACACAAGCAGGGGGAGTGGGAAAGGGAGAAGCAGGCTTCCCGTTGAGCAGGGAGCCCAATGCGGGGCTCGATCCCAGCACCCTGGGATCATAACCTGAGCCGAAGGCAGACGCTTAACGACTGAGCCACCCAGGCGCCCCAATAATAGGTACTTTTAAATGCAGAGACATTGTGGGATATCACTGAAGCTTCTAAAATGCTAGTGTTTGGATAGTGTTTTACATAAATACGTATGATTTGATAAATATATTTCCATCTTTAGAAGAAAATTTACAACTTAAAATTTTTTTTTAAAGTCGTCAATAAAAATGTATGTTCTAATGAAAAAAAATAATTGTAACATCTACAGCAGGTGTCTAAACCTAGCATCCATGGATTCACAGGCAGTATAGAAATGCACTTCAGGAAGTCCATGAACTTATAAGCGATGTATTGTGTTTATGTTATGTTTTTTTTTTTCCTTAGCTTTAATCAGATTTTCGCAGGGCTCTGTGATCCACAAAAAGGTTGAGAGAGTGCCTAATAGTTAATGAAATCAAGAATCAAAATTCCAAGAACATTTCATATACTTATTCATGAAAGTAATATATTTTTTAATAAAGAATGTTTACATGCATCTACTAAAATTAAAACAGTAGGCACTTTGTCACTCTAAGATCGAAGGTTCATATTTCTAACAGATTTTTTTTCCTAGGGAACATCTGAAACACAGGGAGAAAGAAAAACTTGAAGTGATTAAGAACTTGAAGAATATCAGCAGTGGCAACTTGTGTCCCGTTTTAAAGCGCACCATCCCTTTTGGCGTTGCTTATCACCATAGTGGTTTAACGAGTGATGAAAGGAAGCTCTTGGAGGAAGCCTATTCCACAGGAGTTCTGTGCCTTTTTACCTGCACATCCACCCTAGCAGCAGGTGTTAATCTACCAGCTCGAAGGTAAGATAGACGTAGCTTTTGGCCAGGCTCAAAACTTTTTAATTCTTAGCTTGCCAGGAGTTTTGTTGTTTTATTCTTTCTCAGTAGTGGATGAGAATTTATCAGATTTTTTTCATCATTTGCTGAATTGATTGGTTTGTTTCCTTCATTCTATTTATTTTTTTAAGATTTATTTGTTTGATAGTGGGGGGAGGAGCAGAGGGAGAGGGAGGGTGAGTCTCAAGCAGACTCCTCACTCAACACTGAGCCCAATGCGGGACTCCGTCTCATGATCCTGAGATCACGACCTGAGCCAAAACCAAGAGTCAGCTGCCTAACCAGCCGCGCCACCCAGGTGCCCCTCATTTGTTTCCTTTAATATTTTAATGAAAAATAACTTTAGGGTGCCTTGGTGGCTCAGTCGTTAAGTGTCTGCCTTTGGCTCAGTTCATGATCTCAGGGTCCTGGGATCAAGCCCCTCTTCAGGCTCCTTGCTCAGCGGGAAGCCTTCTTCTCCCTCTCCCACTCCCCCTTGCTTCTGTTCCCTCTCTCGCTGTCTCTCTGTCAAATAAATAAATAAAATCTTTTAAGAAAAAGAAGACAGAAAAACAACTTGAGTAGATTTCATGGTATTAGAATTCTTTCTTTGGTACTCTTTCTCTCTCTGGTTTTGATGTTAGGGTTTATTTTTCTAGTTGTAAACAGTTGGCAAGCTTTCTGCCAATTTTTATGATCTGAAAGAGTTTACTTAACATAGGTATTTCCTTGAAAACTTAGAGAACTCATTCATAAAGACTTCTGAGTCTAGTATCTTTTTTCAGAGTAGATCTTTGATTATCTTCAGTTATTACCAAAGCTATGGACCTATATAATTGATGTCTGCTCTTTATAATTTTTATTTAAAAATTTGACTTTAAAATTTATGACTTTTTTTTCAAATACATGGGTGATTTTTAAAAATCGTCCTCCACATTAAAAAACATATGTATTTTCTGTTGGGTATGTAGTTTTCTACATCTCCATGAGAGCACAGTTATTAATCGTGTTACCAGCTCCCTTGATTTTCTACTTGTGATTCTTGAATCTGTCAATTTCAGAGTTGTGTTAGTCTCCCACTGTTATTATGGAGTTGTCTTTCTCCTTTTTGCATTTCTAGAAGTTCTTGCTTTGTATTTCAAAACTCTTTAGGTATACAAAGTTTCATTTCAAATATCTTACTGCCGAATCATACCTTTTATCAGTATAACAGGTCCTTGTTTTTCTCACTGAGTGATTTCACTTTGAACACTAGGATTACATTTTCTTTGCCAAGTATACCTTTTCCCATTCTTTTATTTTCAACCTCTGTCATGGATTAAATTTTCCATTTTTCAGACAAAGTTATGCATCTTATTTCCCTTATCCCAGTTGTTACTCGTAATTGTAACAGTTATAATCAAACATGCTTTTCTGCCATTTTAGAATTAGTCAGTGACTGTTTGCCCTCCTGAACATAACAGGAGTCGTGGTGCTTGTGGTTTCTCCTACGGCCTTGTGTATATGCTGCAGCTACCTAGAATTTTAGTGCCAGACTTTTACTTTTCTTTCATCTTACAGTCCATAATCATTTGAACCTTCCTGTAAATTATACTTGTTTTCTTTGTTTACCACTGCCTCTTGTATCCCATGTCTTCCTTCTATGATCTACTTTTTTATTTTGCTACCCTTGAGTAGTTATTTTTATATTTTTTAAGATTTTATTTATTTATTTGATAGAGTGAGCATGAGCGGGGGCAGGGGCAGAGGGAGAGGAACAAGCAGACTCCGCGCTGAGTGCAGAGCCCAACGTGAGGCTCGGTCCCAGGACCCTGAGATCATGACCTGAACCAAAGGCAGACACTTAACTGATTGAGCCACCCAGGTGCCCCCCAATTAGAATTTTTGAAAGTTCTTTCTGTTCCCTGTTTCTGTCAGACATTTACTCTGTATATTCTTGCTTTTCTTTTATGCCCTTAGTTTTCCTCAAGTGTAATTTTGGCTGTCTGTTGAGGTTTATAACGGAGTTGGTTGATTGGCAGATAAATGACATAGGTTTCCTCTCACTTTTGAACAGGAAAGCTGGCTACAGCTTTCTATCTACATAAGCAGGATTGAAATTACCATAATTTGAAATTTCCAAAAACAGTTGAAACCTGCAATGTTATATAGCTGACAGTAATATAAATTAATAAATAAATATGCATATGTTGGCAATGCATGGTCAGATTTTTCATTTATGGGGTATAGAATCAGTCTTGGAGACTGTTGCTCTAGTAACAATCAAGCTCTGTAGGTAGGCCAACACGTCCAAAGTGTGGTCCTGGTCATTACTAGTTTGTGTGTTGAGGTGAGCCACTTAGTTTGTCTGTGCTTCAGTTAGCCCTTTTGTAAAAAATAGGTAAAATAATAAAGAACATTATTACCAAGAATTTTGTAAGAATTACTGATAACGTACATAAAGAATCCAGGACATCACCAGTTCTTGTTAAATAGCAGTTACTTATTATTTTAAGTTAACATGTCATTAAATTTAATATCACATATATAATGGAATTAAGAATTTAAAAAATAGGGGCGCCTGGGTGGCTCAGTCGTTAAGTGTCTGCCTTCGGCTCAGGTCATGATCCCAGGGTCCTGGGATCAAGCCCCTCAGCGGGGAGCCTGCTTCTCCCTCTCCAGCCTGCTTCTCCCTCTCTAGCTCCCCCATGCTTGTGTTCCCTCTCTCACTATCTCTATCAAATAAATAAAATCTTCAAAAAAAAAAAAAAGAATTTAAAAAATAGATATTATTATAGATGTAGCATCACTTTTAATTAACATTATCAATTCCATAGAGTTATTTTAAGAGCTCCCTATGTTGCTAAGGAATTTTTAAAGAGGAATCAATATAAGCAGATGATTGGCAGAGCTGGCCGTGCTGGAATAGATTCTATTGGGGAGAGTATCCTTATACTGCAAGAAAAAGACAAGCAACAGGTAATCATCTGGTTGTTGGTTTGTTGTTTTATCTTTTTTTGGTCTTTGGTCTAGCCCTTCTATGATATCATCTTTTAAAAATTAATTGTTAATGTTTCCTTCAATATTTTTTCTCCTCTACTATTAGGAATTAGAAAGAATAGTTTGAATATTTCTGTAGTTCAGACAAGCAATGAAAAGTATTTTCCTTGTTTATCTTTCTTCCATTTTCATGAGAACACCTGCTAAATTCTTATTTGTCTTTATGTCCTTAACACCCCCTGCTTCCACAAGGTCTATACAGAATATAAAATTTTATATGGAACACTTAATTTTTTTATAACAACACAAAACATAATATTGCTTTAACTTTTGTAGGTATTGGAGTTAATAAGCAGACCACTGGAAAATTGTTATAGCCATCTTGTTCAAGAATTCACCAAGGGAATCCAAACTTTGTTTCTCTCTTTGATTGGTTTGAAGGTATTTTTCATTATTTTTAAATCTTGTTACCATTACCTGAGATAATAGAGATTTAAAAGTTATGAGAACTGTAAGTATGAAAAAAAAAAGGCTAACTTCTAATCTAATGTGGAAAAGAATAATCTGACATGATAAATCTGAATATAGATTTCTATGTCCATTTTAATGCTTTGAGTTGTATGAAATATGAAAAATCCACAAATCATAACTGGGTATTATTACAAGTGAGAGACTTTTTGGATACTCTGGAGGATATAAGAAGCTATAAGGGCATAGGTCCTGATGTGGGATAATCCATCTTCTCTGCCCTTGTTAAGAATAAGGTTCACCTGTAGCACTGTGATCATTCTAGGATGTTATAAACATTTGTGAGATCAGTATAGCCTTTATCAAGCAGAAAATTAAAAAAGAAAAAAGCACAGCAGGAAAACACTCTTTTTCTTAGAAATTAGCTCTCTCTTTTAGGATTACTCTTGAGTTAAACTTCTTTTTATGGTTATTCTTTTTTTTTTTTAAGATTTATTTATTTATTTTAGAGAGAGAGAGAGTGCAAGCTGGGGAAGGGGCAGAGGGAGAGAGACTCTCAGGCAGACTCCCCACTGAGCCTGGAGCCCAACGTGGGGCTCGGCTCGGGGCTTGGCTCAGGGCTCGATCCCATGACCTTGAGATCATGATCTAAGCTGAAATCAAGAGTCAGACACTTAGCAACTGAGCCACCCAGGCACCTCTATGGTTATTCTTTTTTTTTTTTAAAGATTTTATTTATTATTTGACAGAGAGAGACATAGTGAGAGAGGGAACACAAGCAGGGGGAGTAGGAGAGGGAGAAGCAGGCTTCCCGCAGAGCAGGGAGCCCGATGCGGGGCTCGATCCCAGGACCCCGGGATCATGACCTGAGCCGAAGGCAGACGCTTAACGACTGAGCCACCCAGGCGCCCCTCTATGGTTATTCTTAAGTAAATTTTAATTTTGTGTCCAAGGTCACTTGGCCATAAAGTGGCAAAGCCAGGGTTTGAATTTGTTCCACTACAAAACCAGTGCTCTTAACCTATCATGCACTACCTTCATTAACCCAACCAGTTTACATGAAAATACAAAAGGTAATTAATAAATAAAAAATACCATAAAATAAGTTGTAGATAAGTAGAGGGAAAGAATAAGTCATTTCAGGTACTTAACATAGAATTAATGATGAGAAAGCTGAAGAAAGTCAACAGACTAGATTCTATAGCTCTAGAGGAGGGCTGCAGATCATGAAGAGTTGAAAGTTGGGTGGGAAGAGTTAGGCCCAGACTGTGTGCTGTAAATTGGGGAAAATGGGAGAGCATGCTAAAGTAGTAGACTATAGAGTTGCGACACTGTCACTTATCAGTGGAGAATTAGTGATGTGTGGTGGTTGAGAGTAAAGGCTCTGATATCACGCATACCTGTGTCCCAGTCCCAACTCTGTCTCTTAATACTCTGTGTAAGTTATTAGCTCTCTCTTAAATCTCACTCACTTGCCTTATCTGTAAAATGGAGATAATAGTATGCAGAAGTATTGCAAGACTGTTTAGAAGCAATTGTAGTAATCCATGTATAATGTAATAAAGACCTGCATTAGGAGGGTTGCCAAGGAATTAGTAAAGGAGGGAGAGCTCATGAAGATCATCAAGTCCTCTATTACATTTATATATTAGATAAGGTAACAGACTCAGAGAATTGGTGAGTAGTCTAAGATCATTCAGTGAGTTATGGTTTAGATGGGACTATAATTTAGGTTCCTGCCTTGCTGGCCCGTACTCTTTCCAGTGTACCATTGTATGTGTGGACTATTCCTCAACTGTGCATGGAATATTTCACCAACATAGACCATAGACCATATTCTGAGACCATAGACAAGTCTCAATACATTTAAAAGGATTGAACTCAAATATGGTATGGTGTCTAATGGAAACAATTATAGTATACCAGCAGTAATAGAAGGATATCAGGGAACTATCCAAATATTTGGAAATTAAATAGCGTACTTTGACCAAAGGTCAAAGTAGAAATTACAAAGAATATTAGAAATATTTTGAATGGAATGAAAATGAAAACAGAGATATCAGAATTACTGGCATGAAGCCAAAGAAGTGCTTAAAAGGACATTTATAGCTTTAAATACTTATTAGAATACAAGAAAGATCCAGATTCACTAGTCTAACTTTTACTTTAGGAACCAGGGTGAGGGGGACTCAAAGTAGAAAGAAGGAAATAATACAAATAAAAACAGAAATGAAAAAAACATAGACAAGAGAAAAATATAATGAAACTGCAAGCTAGTTCTTTGAAAAGATCAGTAAGATTATTGACTGATTTGATCAGAGGGGAAAGAGAAAATACATCAATTACCATACCATCAGGAATGAAAGGAGGGTCATCACTAAAGATCCTAGAGATATTAAAGGGATAGTAAGGAATAATCCTTGAATAACTGTATCCTTGAGGGACGCCTGGGTGGCTCAGTTGGTTAAGCGGCTGCCTTCGGCTCGGGTCATGATCCCAGGGTCCTGGGATCGAGTCCCACATCGGGCTCCTTGCTCAGCAGGGAGCCTGCTTCTCCCTCTGCCTGCCTCTCCCCCTGCTTGTGTTCTGTCTCTCTCTCTGACAAATAAATAAATAAAATCTTTAAAAAAAAAAAAAAAAAAAAAAAATAACTGTATCCTTGAATGCTGAAAAATTCAACTACTTAGATGAAATGGGGAAAATTCTTGAAAGACATAATTTCCAAAATTGACTGAAGAAGAAGTAGAAAGTCTAGTCCTAGATCTATTAAAGAAATTGAATTTATGGGGCGCCTGGGTGGCTCAGCCGGTTGAGTATCTGCCTTTAGCTCGGGTCATGATCCCAGGATCGAGCTGCATCGGGCTCTCTGCTCAGTGCTTTCTTTCTCTCTCTCAAATAAATAAATAAATAAATCTTTAAAAAAAAGAAAGAGATTGAACTTATAACTTAAAACTTCCCACAAAGAAAACTCCAGGCCCACCGACTTCACTGGTGAACTCTGTCAAACATTTAAGGAAGAAATAATACCAATCATACACATATTCTTCCAGAAAGTAGAGGAAGAGGGAATACTGCTCATCTCATGAGACCAGCATTATTCTGATACCAAAATCAGACAAAGATATTACAAGAAGAGAAAACTACAGGCCAGTATCTGTGGTAAAAATAGATATAAAAGTCCTTATCAAAGTATTAGTAATCCAGCAACACAATCAGAGTTTATGCCAGTAATGCAAAGTTAATTTAACATTCAAAATTCAATGTTACTATTTATTTGACAGAATTCAACAGCCATTCATGATAAAAACTCAGCAAACTAGGAGTAGAAGAGAATGTCTTCAACCTGATAAAGGGTGTTTATTTAAAAAAAAAAAAGGGGGGCGCCTGGGTGGCTCAGTTGGTTAAGCGACTGCCTTCGGCTCAGGTCATGATCCCAGGGTCCTGGGATCGAGTCCCACATCGGGCTCCCGGCTCAGTGGGGAGCCTGCTTCTCCCTCTGACCCTCTCCTCTCTCATGCTGTTTCTCGCTCGCTCTCCAGTAAATAAATAAATAAAATCTTTAAAAAAAAAAAAGCACTACAGGTAACATCACACTTAATGGTCAAAGACTACATGTTTTTCCGTCTAAGATCAGGAAAAGAAAGGAGGTCTGCTCTCACCCTACTTTTCAGCATATATTGGAAATCATAGCCAGTACAAGACAGGAAGAAAAATGAGGGCATATAGATTAGAAAAGAAGAAGTAAACCGTCTTATTTGCTGATATTAGGTTCAAGAAAAATCCAAAGGAATGTAGAAAAAAACTAGAGTGTAATCAGCAATGTCATAGGATACAGGGTCAATGTACAAAACTCAGTTGTATCTGTATACTCACTACAAATAATATACTCACTACAAATAATTGGAAAAACAACTCCACAGTAGCATCAAAAAATATGCAATACTTAGGGGTAAATTTAACTAATATGTGTCAGATCTATACACTGAAAACTGTAAAACTGTTGAGAAAAATTAAAGGAGACCTAAATAGATGGAGAGAGGTACCATGTTCAAGAATTAGAACACTCAGTTTTGGCCAGATGTTACTTACCAAATTGGTCTATGAATTTAATGCAATCCCAGTCAAAATCTCAACAGGCTTGTTTGTGGAAATTGAAGGCTGATAGAATTTATTTGGAAATGCAAAGGAGTAGAATAGCCAAAATTAATTTTGTGAAAATATAACAGAGTGTTCATCCTACTTCAAGACTTACTGTAAGGCTACAGTAATCAAGACAGTGTGGGGATATTGGCACAAGGATCATATAAACCAACAGATCAGTAAGTCCAGAATTAGGCCCACACATATATGATCAATTTAAAAAAAAAAAAATAATCTCTACACTCAACATGGGGCTCGAACTCAGGATCCCGAGATCATGCTCCATCAGCTGAGCCAGCCAGGTGTCCCTATATATGATCAATTTTTAACAAAAGATGTCAAGATATTTAAATGGACAAAAGATAGTTTTTTTCAATAAATGGTGCTGGAATAACTAGATAGCTATATAGAACAACAACAAAAAATTAACCTGTGCTCTTACCTCACTCTAATTTTGTCCAAAATAATTAATTCAAAATGGATCATAGACCTAAACTTAAAAGCTAAAATATAACTTCTAGAAGAACATATGGGGAAAATTTTTAGTTACCTTGGGTAAAGATTTCTTATGTGGCAAACAGAAAACATAAACCATGAAGAGAAAAATCAATCAAATAGACTTCATCATAATTTTAAAAATTATCTTCAAAAGACATTGCTAAAAAAGTGAGAAGGCATGAAGGAAATATTCCTAATACGTACATCTGACAAACATGTAGATGAGTTAGGACTCAGCAAAAGGTAGTGGAATTGGGAGGGAGTTGGGACTTCACTTAAGACGGGAGCACTCAGGTAACAGGGAGACTGGGAGAACTGACTTGGCCACAGGGGTGTGGTTTTATGGGCCTGGCAGTGCAAGATTTACGGAGCACAACAGTTGCGTTTAGATTCTGTTTTAACCGTTGAAGTACAGCAGCGAGAAGTCCAGGCAGCAGCTGGTGCAGGAGATTAGCAGGTAGGCAGCTGTTGTTCCAAGCTGCCCATAGGAGGCAGAACTCAAGAAACTGGACCCAGCCATGAGAAGGCCAGGCCATCAGGGTTCCTCTCTCACCTTGGGATAAGGGCTTATAATGGGGCTCTAGCTGTGGAAGAAGGCTGGAACTCTAGACACAGTGGAGAGCAGGAAGACCTTTAGAGTTGGAATTGAAGCTCCAGTCAAGTTCTCTGGACAGGAACAAGCAGATGGAAGAGAGGGGAGAAGCAAGAAGGGCAGGGTCTGTGACTTGGGCAGTGAGGTCGGGGGCAGGAGGATACAGATGAGCACCCCCGGAGATACTAAGTCCCTGCTTTGGTGGAAGAGAAGGAAACTCCAGGAATTAATGAGAGGACATAACAGTGTTTGGGCCATAAGATTCAGGGAGCCTCCAGTTATCATGTATTTATCACAACCATATTTCCGACACCCTGTGAGACACTTTATGTGTTTTATCTCTGATCCTTGCATACCTTCAAATTAAGTAATGTAACTCCCTTTTACAGAAAAAGAGTCTGAGGCAAAGAGAGGCAGGTTCTGTAGGCTGCTTGCAATCTTATCTCCATACCTGCACACTGGGGTCAGTAGTGCTCCTGCAGTCTCCTGTCTGGGTCAGTGTGATTGTCCCCTAACTGGTCTGACTGCCTTGCAGCCATTCTGCCGTGCCTTCCCACATCCCCTCCAAATAATTGTTCACACAGATTGATCTTGTCAAAATGTAAACTCAGAATGTGCTACCTGCTTAAAATTTGTCAGTGGTGTTTCCCATTGCTTTTAGGATTTAGGAAGCCCAAATTCCTTGTCATGGTCTACCATGGTAGATTTGGCCTCTGCCTGTCTCCATCCTCTCTCACCAGCCTCCTTGCACTCTGCACTCCAGGAGAGCCGAGAGCCTTCTCAGTTCTCAAATATGTGATGCTCCCTCCCATCCCAGTGCTCACTAAGCCTGGGACTAGCCCATCTTCCCCACCACATCTCTCTACTCACCTTCACCCACTCACCCTTGAGGCTTCACTTAATCATCGCTCCTCAGGGAAGCCTCCCTGTGCCTCTGAGTCCAGTCAGTTTATTGTATGCTTTATAGAACCACATTGCTTTAGTAGAACCTATCAGTTTGTAATTATATTCTGGTTAGTGCAGTGATTCCCCACAGGAATGTAAGCCCTGTGCAAGCAGAGTCCACATTTATTTTTATTTGTCCCTGAATCCCAGTGCCTAACACAATGCCTGGCATGTGGTTGGTGCTCTCTAAATACTTGAATGAACGAATGAATTGATTTTGGAGTTGGGCATGGGTGAACCTGAAGGTTGGGGCAACAGTGGAGAATCCAGCTTTGAGAAGCTGTGGAGGCCAGAGGCAGAGCCTGGACCAGTGGGTCTAAATCACTATGTCTGTAAATTTTTCACAGAGGGATAGAAAGATAACATGATGGTAGCTAGAAGGATCAAGTAAAGGATTTTTTTTAATATCCCCAATGTTAACTGTAATCAACCAAGTAGAAAACAATCCAGCAACTAAGTTCATTGATAATCTACAAACTGAGTATCAGTCTTGAATATCTTACAACTACAATTTTGGCCTAACTGAATATTACATTAAGAATGAGTTTTGGGGCCTCTGGGTGCCTCAGTCAGTTAAGCGTCCAACTCTGGATCTCGGCTCAGGTCATGATCTCAGTCATGAGATCAAGCCCATTATTGGACTCCACACTGAGTGTGGAGCCTGCTTAAGATTCTCTCCCTCTCCCTCTGCTCCACCCCCTGCTCTTGTGCTCTCTCTTAAAAATAATAATAATAAATAAATATTAGAACATTTCCAGAAAAGGGAGTTTTATTAAAAGGAGGAATAACAATAGGAAATGTCTATGCCTCATTATATTTTTTGTTAACCCTTATATCGGTTTAGTATCAAATAACCACTTAAGTTTTCCAGTTGAAAATATCATCAGAGGGGCACCTGGGTGGCTCAGTCGTTAAGTGTCTGCCTTCGACTCAGGTCATGATCCCAGGGTCCTGGGATCGAGCCCCACATTGGGCTCCCTGCTCGGCGGGAAGCCTGCTTCTCCCTCTCCCACTCCCCCTGCTTGTGTTCCCTTTCTCTTGCTGTGTCTCTCTCTGTCAAATAAATAAATAAAATCTTAAAAAAAAAAAAAGGAAATATCAAAATTGTAAGAGAGAAATATGCTTATTGATTGACTATATTTTAATATAACATGCTGATTTCATTGAAATAGGCTAATACAAAATTCTAATTCAGCATCAACTCTACATCTGAATACCAAATGGAGGGTTAAGTATTACTTATGATTGCCATTATAGGTTTTTGGTTTTTTTTAAGATTTTGTTTGTTTGACAGAGAGAGAGATAGTGAGAGCAGGGGGAGTAGGAGAGGGAGAAGCAGGCTTCCCGCTGAGCAGGGAGCCCGACACGGGGGCTCAATGCCCAGGCTTGAATCCAGGACCCTGGGATCATGACCTGAGCCGGATCCTTAACAACTGAACCACTCAGGTGCCCCACCATTATAGGTTTTAAATAGTGACTAAGAGGGGGAGAGAGAAGGCAGCAAAAGAACAGGAATGAGAGAGACAAAAAGAGAAGAAGACTGCTATTTATTTCTAGGTGATATGCGGGAAATACTGCCTGATCCTATTTCAGTGGAGACTTTCAGTTGTGTTTTGTGTGTGCGTGTGTGTGTTTTATTACCATTTTTATTGCTAAGGAATGCTTTCACAGGTGGATGGAAGGGGTGAAGGGAGGATTTCTGAAGGATGCTGAGTGGGAATTAGTGATAATTGGAATGTAAACAGAGAGCACAGCTTTGGAGATACTGTGAAAAATTATTCAAAAATCTGAGGATTTTTTGAGTGAAAAATATGTAGATGTTTTCATAAAAAGTATGAATATGATAACTTCTTTAAATGGTTTCTTGTTAATTTTTAAATGTCCCTATAAAATTATCTTTATATATGTGAGTTTGTCAATTTTATACTAATTTATTTCAATAGCTTTGAGGTATAGAGAGAAACGTGCATTCAAAATGATGCCTTAATTAAGGAAAATGCTCCAATGATGTCCTGAATTGTTTCAGATTGCAACAAATCTTGATGACATATATCACTTTATGTGTGGTACATTTTTTGGTGTTCAGCAAAAGATTTTGTTGAAAGAAAAAAGTCTGTGGGAAATAACTGTGGAATCACTTAGATACCTGACAGAAAAAGGACTTCTACAAAAAGACACTATTAATAAGTCTGAAGAAGAGATCCAGTATAGTTTTCATATTACAAAACTGGGACGAGCTTCTTTTAAGGGTAAGAGTTTACCTGTTACTGAGGAAGTGTGCTGGGAAAAAAATGGAAATTAAATCATTCTCTTTCTTTAAACTGGAACTGTAGTTTCGTATTAATAACATTAATCTTAAAAGCTATTAGACTACTTTAGCTTTTAAAAGTTGAAAAATGGGGACGCCTGGCTGGCTCAGTCAATAGAGCATGAGACTCATCTTGGGGTCGTGGGTTCAAGTCCCATTTCGCGTGTAGAAACTACTTGAAAAAAAAAATTCTTTTTTAGTAAATAAAAAGTTGAAAAAATGTTGGGTTTTTGGTTTGGTTTTTGTTTTTGTTTTTTTAGAGAGGGAGGGGGAGGGGCAGAAAGAGAGGGAATCTTAAGCAGGCTCCACACCCACCATAAGTCCAACTTGTGGCTTGATCTCACAACCCTGAGATCATGACCTGAGCTGAAATCAAGAGTTGAACACTTAACCAACTGAGCCAGCCAGGCACCCTGAAAAATATTTTTAATTAAAGTAATTTAGGATATTGCAGAAATATTTGGGAAAAAAGATGGTCATCCCCCTTCACACACCCCTCCCCTAGCAATCATACAAATCTTAATATCTTACCAAGAATAACAATTTGGTGTATGTCTTTTCAGGCATTTTATGTACATTTCATTTCAGTGCATAATACATACTTGTATATAAGTTTAAGATTTTTTAAGCTTTTGTTTTTAAATAAACAATCATTTGTATTGTTCTAGAACTTGCTTTTTTTGCTTAATATCTTAAAAATTGTTCCATGACAGTGAAGTTTTTTCTTAATGGCTAATCATAATTTACTTAATGAAAAATAATACATGTGTGTTGTTTAAAAAAAAAAAACCTTAGATCTCAGAATGATGTAAAGGAAAATCCCATTCTCCTGTCCCATTTCCACTCTCCCAGGGGCAACCATTGTTAACAATTTGATGTGTATCCTTCCATATATATTATTATGTATTTAGATAAATATGTATATGTATATTATATATGTATATGTGTATATGCATATTTGCAAGTATATGTGTACAGATTTATACACATACATTCATACACATTTATATATGTTATTTTATAGTTTATTTTTTAAGATGAAATCACAGTTGTAAGTATTTTTTGGCAGCTTGCTTTTCTCACTTAAAATATTAGGAGCATCTTAACATGTCAGTCCCTTTAATCTACCTCATTTTTCTTTTACTACTATAATCACCCATGGTCTGGATACTGTAATTTAATTAACCATTCCCCTATTGATGGACATTTGTACTGTGTTTTTTTGTTTTGTTTTCTCAATTATAAACAAAGCTGCAATGGGCATCTCTATTTATGTGTTTTTGGGTGTGTGTGGAAATGTTTCTCTTAGATTTCCAAAAACAGAGTATTTGGGTCAGAAGGTACATACTTATTAAATGTTGATGTATACTATCAAAATGACCTCCAAAATAGTTGTGCTAAAATACATAAGAAAAGATTTTGGTGGGAGGATGGGTAAAATAGGTAAAGGGGATTAAGAGTACACTCATCATAATGAACACTCAGTAATGTATAGAATTGTTAAATCACTGTATTGTACACCTGAAACTAATATAACAATCTATGTTAACTATAAAGGAGTTAAAAAAAATTTAAGAGATTTTGAAGACTTTTTGCTATGTTTAGGTATAAACAAGACCTTTTTAAGATACCTTTTTCCCCCTTTGGTAATTATGAAAGATGAAATATTTGATCTTTCTTTTAGGAACTATAGATTTGGCTTATTGTGACATTCTGTACAGAGACTTGAAGAAAGGTCTCGAAGGACTTGTGCTCGAAAGCCTTCTTCACCTAATTTACCTAACAACTCCCTATGATATGGCTTCTCAATGTGTCCCTGACTGGATGATATACTTCAGGCAGGTGAGAATATAAGGTTCTTCAATATAGGATATTTTATTTATTAATGATGATGTAATTTTTGTCGAATGATTATTCACTTTTTTTCTCTACTAAATATATTTGAAATTGGGCCTTTCATGTTTCGGTTTTTAAAATAGTTATATGGCAATGGCATTTTCAGTTTGTTTAACTTAAATATTACTTTCCTATTAAATATAAACATGTTCATTATCGAAAAAATAAAGAAAGGTGCAGAAAAGAAAAGAGGATCATCCCTGGTCCCATTCCCCAAAGATAGTTACTGTTACGGTTTGGTGACCACTCCATTTTATGTTGCCTAGAATGTGAAGAAGCTGTTTTTTTTTTTGAGATTTTTAATTACATGAAAGCTCTATCAGAGCCAAGCATGATGACTAAACCTAGTGATGTTAATACCTAAGAAGAAATGTCAGTTTTAGCACCAACAGGAAGGTACAGCTGGTCCTACCTGTTACAAAACCAGGTGGTAGAGTATAGTCTATTATGATTTTACTATGAGCAGGGCAGATACATGAACACATGTTAGGCAGAAGCAGTATGCAGCTCTTAATTGCAGGAAGTTAACTTTCTTTTTAATGTCATATTTTAAAATTGTAACTTAAGTTTTTAAGTGGTACTATATAATGCAGTTACTGTCAAAAGCTTTCCCTCTTCTTCCTACCCACCGCACGTGTCAATATTAAACATAACCACAAAGTCCATGGAAACCATAGTCCATAGTCACAGTGCTTGTGACCGTACCTTTAAGTATTCTACTAAAATATGTTGTATTTTAATAATACATTTTTAAGCCATGAAAATGTGATATCACAGGAAATACTGGATTTGGTTCAAATGGCAAATTTTTAAAAGTTACAATTTGAGGGGCATCTGGGTGGCTCAGTCAGTTAAGCGTCTTACTCTTGATTTCAGCTCAGGTCATGATCTCAGTCAGGGTCGTGAGATTGAGCCCTGTGTTGGGCTCCACACTCAGCAGGGAGTCTACTTGAGATTTTCTCTCCCTCTCCCTCTGCCCCCCCACATGCTCACTCTCTCTCAAATAAATGAATAAATATTTTTTTTAAGTTACAATTTGATTTTTCTCTATGTTTACTCTTTTTAAATGTAGTTTAGCCAGCTCAGTCCAGCAGAACAAAATGTAGCTGCTCTTCTTGGAGTCTCTGAAAACTTTATTGGGAAGAAAGCATCAGGTCAAGCTATAAAAAAGGTACCGTAGTCTTTTTCTCTTCCTAAATAAGTTGATTTAGCAAAATTCATGCTGTTGTATCATCTCTTTTGTTGATTTGATCTTTTTGTTTTGTATTTTTTTCTTTAAGTTAATATAATTCCCATTTTACCATTTAAAACATGTGAGGACCAGAAATTTGGGCATTTTTTTTAAAACATTTTTTGGTTGGTGTGATGGCCTTTTTTTGTATGTGTAACTTTGCATTTATGAAACACTCTGTCATGCACATATAAGCTTCTTAATCATAGGAGAAGGTAAACTTTATTAATCAATTTTTCTTAGGCTACTTATGGCTTACATTATAAAAATTATAAAATTTTGGACGCCTGGGTGGCTCAGATGGTTAAGCGTCTGCCTTCGGCTCAGGTCATGATCCCAGGGTCCTGGGATCGAGTTCCGCATAGGGCTCCCTGCTCCTTGGGAGCCTGCTTCTCCCTCTGCTTCTCTCTCTCTCTGTCTTTCATGAATAAATAAATAAAATCTTAAAATAAATAAATTAATTAAATAAAGTAAAATAAAAATTGTAAAATTTTATAAAATGTTTTTATGATAGTATATAATCCTGAAATAAGTTTAGTTCAAGGGAGAAAAATGTATTTTCTAGAACCTTTTTTTTTTTAAGTAATCTCTACACCTCATATGGGGCTCGAACTCATGACTCCAAGATCAAGAGTCACATGCTCCTCTGACTGAGCCAGCCAGGTGGGCCACCCCCCATACCTAGAAACTTTTTATTAGGCATTCTACTTGGTGTCAGAGATTCTAAGATAGGGTGGGTTTGAGGTTTTCATTGTTGTTTGTTGTTCTTAAAGAACCCCCAGTCTAGTTAGTACTTGAACTACATAAAGCTGTAGAAGGTTGAAGTTGATAAATTAATACTTTTTTGTGTAATATTCTTACGGTGTTTTGAAGTTTAGTCAACAAATACGAAGCAAGTGTCTAATACACTAACTTTAAGAGGAATGGAAATAGGGGAGCCTGAGTGGCTCAGTTGGTTAAGTGTCTGCCTTCGGCTCAGGTCATGATCCCTGGGTCCTGAGACTGAGCTCCATGTCAGGATCCCTGCTCAGCGGGGAGCCTGCTTCTCCCTCATCCTCTGCACCCCCCCCCACTTGTGCTCTCTCTGTCTCTCTCTCTCTCAAATAAATAAAACCTTTAAGAAAAAGAAAAATGGAAATAATTTTTTGGTAAACATTCCTTCAAATTCCTTAAGTTAATACCATTTTCTACCTTATAATACACTTTTTTTCATTTTTCATTTTGTTGGTAATCCAATCTTTATTGAAACCTAATTATCTTACCTGCCATTTCCCCCATATCTTTAAATTTACATAAATATTACTAATTTCATTTTGAAAAGTGAAAGATGGTGTTTACTCACATTTGAATTGAACGATGCCCTGTCCTATGTACTGCTATATCATAAAATTATAAATGTCTCTTTAGTAGTTCAGTGTTCATGTTATCACAATATTTTGATTGGGTCTTTTACCTCAGAAATACCTATGTTGTTTAGACATTCAAAATGTTAAATAAAAATATTTCTTAAAACAAACCTTTTATATACAACTTTAAAATAGAAAATAAAAACAAGGGCGCCTGGGTGGCTCAGATGGTTAAGCGTCTGCCTTCAGCTTAGGTCATGATCTCAGGGTTCTGGGATCAAGTCCCACATCAGGCTCCTTGCTTAGCGGGGAGCCTGCTTCTCCCTCTGCCTGCCACTCCCCCTGCTTGTATTCTCCCTTTCTCTCTCTCTCTCTCTGTCAAATAAATAAATAAAATCTTGAAAAAAGAAAAAAAGAACATAAAAACAAAATCATGTTAATTTGGAACTCATTACCAAATAATAATCATTTCAAAATCTTTTTAGAATAATGCATCTTTTTAAACTTGAATCAGAATTTATTTTTGTTAATGAAATATAGTCAATAAATGTTCAGTTGTTTTAAATTCTAGAGAACATGATATTTACTTAAAATCAAGTTTATTTCTCTACATTGAAAAAGACACTCCCATTTTTCTTTAAATATTTCTTATAAAAGATCTTGAAATTGGCATAAAGCATCTTCTCCTGCCATGTAATATAATTATCATTTTTCTTGGCTTAGAAAATACATTCTAAGCAAAATCTACATTGACTCAAATTATAGTTAATAATGAAGGTGCACTAAAATTGGGAAATTAAAAAGCAATCTCTCTCTACTGGCAATTCAACTATCATGATTTTTCAGCTTAATGCTTTTTAAAAGTATCAACATGTAGAATCTGTAATTCATACAATCTTCGATATGCTACTGTAAGTTCTCATCCCATTCTTTTACCATCATAGGGGATATAATTTTATATTTTATACCCACTTTTTCTCCTTCCAGTTCATCTTTTCTTTCCTCTGATTTTAAGCATGAGTTACTCAGTTCCTAAGTTAGCTTGATATTGGCTGTGAAATACTTTACACAAGAACTGGTCACTAGTACACATGGGGTAGAGCCAGCCAGGAGGCAGGAGGGGCCAGAGCTGTCGTTCTGGGCAGCCCGCTCAAGGATGGCTCCCAGTCTTCCGGAAAGTGCTTGGCTTGGGGAAAGCAAACCCTCGCCTTGCTCCTTTTCAATTGAGAGCATTTTAGGATTGGACCAGAAGAAAGACTGTGTTCCTTCAGTGAAACACCACAGACTGTGGGCAGACACCTGCAGCTCCTCAGGGAAAGATGATAACCTATGTGTGCATATCCCGAGCCTTCCTAATGGGGTCTCATTCCCTTGTACTGTGGATCACCCAGTACCAGAAGAAAGATTTTTGAAATACGAAAATTACTTTTCAGCCTCAGAAAGACTGTCTTTGAAAAGAGAGCTGAGTTGGTATAGAGGCCGGAGACCCAGAACTGCTTTTACTCAAAACCAGATTGAAGTGTTGGAAAACGTCTTTAGAGTTAACTGTTAGCCGGGCATTGATATCAGAGAAGACTTAGCTCGAAAATTGAATCTAGAGGAAGACAGAATCCAGATCTGGTTCCAAAATCGGCGTGCAAAGCTGAAAAGGTCCCATAGAGAATCACAGTTTCTAATGGTGAAAAAAAATTTCAACACAAATCTCCTGGAATAGATAGAAAACTAAATACGTGAGATTATCTTACAATTGCAGAACATGAAGAATCAATGGAAATATCAAGTGTTAAAAACGTGATGTTTTCTTTTCTGTATTTAATCTAAGTGTTGTCATTTTTTCCCTAAAATATATTGTAAATATTTACTGTTATAACATGGTACCTATTATACTTGGCACTTTTAGTTACAATAAAGGCCTTTCCTATATATTTTAACAAAATTTTCATAAAAAGCCAGCTATTTTTTAAGTGAGCAAATTTAATCTAATTAGTTAGTTTGCTAAAACTCATGACTAAGTGATTCCACAAGCTGGATTCAATTTACAAAATAATTCAAGTAAAATAATCTGAAGAACGGCACAAAGATCTGATCTGTTTCAATTACTTTTCTTCAGGTGCATTTTGAAACATGATTATTAGTTTCTCTTAATTTCTGGCATGAAGCAGTGAAAATTTCTCATCATCAATACAAATCCTTCTAGCATGCCAGTTTCATGTTTGTTTTTTTTTAAGCAAAATCATTATGGCAAGGTAGAGATAGAAAGGTATCAGTTGTCATATTCATATATATTATATTGCAAAAAGACTCAAACTGGAAATAAATGCAAATTTTTAAAATAAAAAAAATAAATAAAAGAGGGGTGCCTGGGTGGCTCAGTCGGTTAAGCGGCTGCCTTCGGCTCAGGTCATGATCCTGGGGTCCTGGGATCGAGCCCCGCGTCCAACTCCCTGCTCAGCGGGGAGCCTGCTTCTCCCTCTCCCTCTGCCTGCCACTCTGCCTACTTGTGCTCTCTCTCTCTCTGTCAAATAAATAAATAAAATCTTTAAAAAATAAAAAATAAAAGAACTGGTCACTAGATAGTGCAGGCAAAAACAGGTACACAGAAATTGTCAACTACAGGTAGCATTTTTCTCTTTCAGTGTTTTAACTTTGGAAACATTAATTATTTATCATGACCATGTAGAAATCATAGAATCTAATATTTACTCTTAGTTTACAATATGGACAAGCTTATTAACATACCTATCTACATAAATGCATTTGTCTAATTACATTCACAAATAAATCCAACCTATAAATACCACAGTAAATGTAGTCTTCCCGGGCGCCTGGGTGGCTCAGTTGGTTAAGCGACTGCCTTCAGCTCAGGTCATGATCCTGGAGTCCCAGGATCGAGTCCCACATCAGGCTCCCTGTTCAGCAGGGAGTCTGCTTCTCCCTCTGACCCTCCTCCCTCTCATGCTCTCTGTCTCTCATTCTCTCTCTCACAAATAAATAAAATCTTAAAAAAAAAAAAAAAATGTAGTCTTCCCAACTCCTTCCCTTCCTATATTCTTTTCCTAGGGCTACCACAACAAATTAGCACAAACTGAGTGTCTTAAAACAACAGAAATTTATTCTCTTGCCGTTCAGGAGGCCAAAAGTCTGAAATCAAGATGGCTCCTTCTGGAGGCTCTGAGGAGGAAAACATCTTGCCTCTCTCTTAGCTTTTGGTGCTTGCTGGCAGTCTCTGGTGTTCCTTGGCTTATAAATGCATTCCTCCAGTGTCTCCATTGGAAACATTGCCATCTCCACACTGCTTCTTACGTGTGTCACTCTGTGTCCTCTCCTCTTACAAAGACACCAGTCACTGAATAAAGAGGCCTAAAGGGTCTACTCTACACGCAAGATGATTTCATCTCAAGATCTTTAACTAATTACATCTGCAAAAGTCCTATTTCCAATAATGTCACATTCACAGGTACCACAGGTTAGGAATGAAACATATCTTTTTGTGGGGGCAGACATGATTCAACCCACTACAGCTTCCCCTGTAGAAGGAAGTTTAAATTGGAAATAATTTGGCATATTTTCCTTTTTTTTATACTTGGAATAATGATAATCTGAATTAATCTAAAGTACATATGGTAGAACTTAGTTTTATTTCTGTGGAATCATTCTATTCTGGCTTTCCTGTAGTATAACTTCATTCATATTACCTTTTGTCCAATTTCAATATAATGTACATTTTTAGCAGGTCCAGTACATAAATTCATTTGCTTGTGTCTTTCTAGAAGGTGGACAAGGACGTTGTCAACAGACTATACCTGTCTTTTGTTCTTTATGCCCTGCTCAAAGAGACCAACATTTGGAGTGTGTCTGAAAAATTTAATATGTCTCGAGGCTATATACAAAGCCTTCTCACTGGAGCTGCCTCGTTCTCCTCTTGTGTGCTACATTTCTGTGAGGTAATTCCATTAACTACACATGCCTTGTGCATCTTTTTGTTTTAACTTCTACTAAACTTGTAAACCAGTTAGTCATTATTTCCTCATTGTTGACTTGTTCTATTAATACAAAGCACTCAAACCTTATTTAAAATATATTTGTTTTTATCTGCTTATAAAAGTCCTATGTACTAACTTATGGTAAAGATACAAAAATGACAGACTCACCTAAAATATATAGCAAACAGGTAGAAAGCACCTAGTTATCCCTACTCTTAGAACCACCATTAATAGTTACAAGTATTTGGAATCAACTCTTAAAACAACAATTCTCCATCGATGTAGATTGTGTGAGAGTATCTTTCTTATGGTGATAACCATGGAAAGTGTTTGATTAGTGCATCACCAATACCCAGCAGCTACCTTGTCACTACTTGGGCCCATGCTCTCATGATCGCCAGCCACAGTATTTTGCCATTTTTTCTTCCAGTGTCTGGCAACTGCTTTAGGTTTCTATGTCAAATGTTTAGTTTATAAAATAACTCAAGAAGAAAACTTTATTTTGGCCATGTGCATTTGGAATGGATTTGTGTAAGACTTTACTAATGTCTTTACAAAAAGAAGCTTTCAGAGTTTCCTTAAATAACATAATAAAGCTTACCAGACTTTTCTACTCGGACAGTTTTGGGGATGAATTTATAATATAAGCCTTTTTTGGCTGCATTTAAATTTCTCCTAATTGAGTAATGTAATAATCCTTTCCATATTTGTTTCTATACTCAATTTTTTAAAAAACATTTTTCTCGCATGAATTCTATTTTTAAATTTGAATCTTCATTTTCCCTATCTTAAATTTCCATATTCTATGTATGTATATGGCAGTTAATTCTATCATATGTACTAATAAGTAAGTAATCCAAAATACTTGACTTTGGGTTGAATGATAATTATTTTAGCAAATTCACATTTCTTCATATCTCGTACTTACGCTAAGTTTTAAATATTAGCTTACATTCCCTAATCATGTGCTAGCTAAGCAGAAGACAAAATTTATAGGTAATAAGAAGCTAGCCTTTAAAATGTATTTTCTTAAGTTTTCTGTGTTTGTTTTTCTTCATATTTAAAGATACTTCCCCTAAAGTTCTATCCCTTTGTTTTACTTAGGACTATAAGGATTTCAGCCTTCTAGACTTGTTCAAGTAAAAGAAACTATATTGAATTTGAAAAACAACTATAATTTGATGGTCGTTCCTAGAAACAATCTACCTGACAACTTGTGCTCTCATGAATGTATTTTCAGTATTTTAAAGTGTTTTTTTCTTCTTAAAAAGCTATGTAAGTTATATGAAATAGTACATCAATAGTGTTAGCTAAGATGCCTTTAACTACAAGTAACAGAAAAACCCATAGAAGTTTAAACAATAAGGAACAAAGATGATCATGTGGAACAGGAAAGCTAGAGCTAAGTCTGTTCAGGGTTGATGGATTCATCGTTCTGGTCAAGGTTTTCTTCTCTTTACTCAGCCATCTTTGGTGCATTGGCTGCTTTCCTAGTGGTCACAAAATAGCTGCCTAACGCTGTTCCATATATCACAAATGCTCACAGTGACACCCAAAGGTTAGAAAGCGACTTAAAAAAAAAAACAAACAAACTACTACTACAGAAAATTTCAAACATAAAATAAGAAAATAATATAATAAATGCCCATTTACCCACCCACCTTTAACAGTTATTGACCCATGGCTTCCAATATTTTTATTGTCTTAAATATTGCTTCTGATATTTTTGTTGTTTTAAATATTGCTGCATCTTGCATTGGAATCCTTCCACGTGTAATATTTTGTCTTCAGGATAAATTCCCAGAGGTGGGAACTGTTTTCAGTTATTTGGGAAAGAAAAACTATGCATTCACTTGCTGGTGTTTTGGTGAAAAAATGAATAGAACTCTTCTCACTGGCTTATCTTTCAATTTTCAGTCTTCTTCCTCATCCCAAAACCAGTTTGTCAAATTCCTCAGTCTCTGCCCTTGTTTCCTTATAATAATTTTGTGTGGAATTATTGTTCATCTCTGGCTTAACCAAGTTTCAGAACTTACATCAGGGAACACCCTCTCTGAGCCCCCTACCAAGCCAACCAAACTTTGAAATAACTTAACGAGATTTAAATTCTGTGTATTTCTTTGTGTTCTGCAGGAACTTGAGGAGTTTTGGGTTTATAGAGCCCTTTTGGGAGAACTCACCAAGAAGTTGACTTACTGTGTAAAGGCAGAGCTAATTCCTCTCATGGAAGTGACTGGAGTTTTAGAGGTTAGTAGCTTACCAGTTTCCCAACTGAGGTGATTTCAACTAACAGAAAAATCAGGTTTTACTATTTTGTGATGTCCTATCACAAGGTAAGTAACAACAGCCTTATACCTTATTGGTCAAGAGAGGGTGTTTTTTTGTTGTTGTTTTCCTCTTTAAATAGTTATCATGGCCTCCCAGAAGTCCCCTATAAATCTGGATAAGTCTTGATGAAAAAAAATCACACTTGTGAAAAAAAATAACAGTAGGGATAAAAGTGAGACTCCCCAAGTATATGTGTTCTACCATTCGTCCTTAGCATCTGTTCCTTCCTCCACTCCAATGAAGAATTACCTTCTGTCAGGTTAAACTCAGTGCTTGTTTCAGGAAGTGGTGATTCGGGGGCAACGAGGCTTATTTCTATTTCCTAAGAGAGTGAGAAGAAAGTATCCTCACCTGGTTTCTCAGCTTTCTGTTTTTAGCCAACTGTTGATTTCAGCTTATTCTGTTATTCAGTCCTTCAGTTGGAAGCATTCTTCTGCCTGAGAACACACACACACCCCAGCAGTTCCCTGAGTATATGGTGAGAACATTAAGGATATTGGACTGGAACATCTTGATTGGGTGTCTAAAATAATTTATGCCCCTCACCTGAGTGCCTTAATGGATTTCTCATTCCTGATTGCAACACACATCGGTTAACTTAAGCTGCACAGAAAGCTGTCTTGCAGTCAGATGGGAACCACCCAAATTCATCTTTTAAAATTTCTCAGGATTCGGATGTGTTATCTCTTCATGTTTATTATTACCTTAGTCTGTTTCTGTCTCTTGCATGTGAAATTTTTCCCTTCAGTAAGACACTTGATTATTTTTTCCTAATCCCAAATTCTGACCCTGCTGATTTGTGTAATACCTTTCAGGGTCGAGCAAAACAATTATACAACGCAGGCTATAAAAGTCTGATGCACTTAGCTAATGCAAATCCTGAAGTGTTAATAAGGACAATTGATCATTTATCAAGACGCCAGGCCAAGCAAATTGTTTCATCAGCAAAGGTAAGCCAACAAACCATTTTTTACCCTTCATGATATTTTGTAGTGTTATCTCCTTATACTTTGGACATAAAAGCAAAAACATCGAACTATAGACACAAAAGTGTATACTCACAATACGTGGATAAAATAGTGCATCTGTTATGATACAAGGCTTGCTAGAAAGAGAAAAAGCACCTCCTAAAAATTAGACAATCTTAAGAGTCCCCTGAAGTACAGGGAACTCTGGAACTCACGGAATTCTGCCTCCTCACCCTCTTCACAGAAGGCCTTTCCTCAGCATCCCTGACATCTGGTCTTCCCACCTTTGCGTGCCTTCATTGACATGAAGCTTACAACCTCAAAAATTAGGTAGTTCTATTTTTGGACACTCTTAGTGTTCCAAAAAGCACCCCAATAAACTGTTGCCTTCTTACAATGTCCACCATTAGATTGTAAGTACTACCGTCTAGAACTAGTCTATTTTCTTTGTTCCTATGGTAGTTTTTCACATATTTGAAAACAGCTCTCTTTGTTTCCAGGCATTTCTCTTTTCTGCTTCTTTCATCCATATTAAATAATCTAGTTTTAGGCAATTTACTATCCTAGTTATCCTTTTCTAGATGTGGGCCAATTTGTCTTTTTGACCTGTCCCCATCATTACTGGATTTTCTTACTTTTGGGGTACATCTGTCAGGTTCTAATTTTAGGAACAGAAAGCACACAATAATGTGAAGAGGAAAGTTTAATATAAAGAATTAGTAACTAGTAACAAAGGTTATTCGTCGGCTTCTAAGGGGTAAACAGAACTGCAGCAACCATGGGAAGGAATAATGCGAAGAACATCCACCCTCACCCCACACCACCCCCTTTGGATGGGCTTCATACTTCATCAGAGAGGCTTCATCGGAGAGGGTGTGGCTGTGGCTCACCAGAGAGCAGATGAGTTCCTTGTGTCCCAGCCAAGGCTTGAAGCAGGAAGCTGCCCACCAGGATGCTGACAGAACTGCCAGGAAGCTCCCCGGAGTGTGCTATGGAACTTGCTTGGAAGCTAGCTTGAGTACCCATGGAACTTGCTGGAAAGCTGTCTGCAGGGATGCTGTTGAAACTCACTGTAATGAGGGCCACCAGATCAGCATACCAGACTAGCACGGCAGGAGCCCTAAGAAAAAGACACACCAAAACCGGGAGGAGAAGCCCCTTCTCCTGCAGTGCCTCCAGTGCCCTCTACTGACCAAGCTGAATATTGTACCCGCTGGCAAAGGAGAAGTGTTTACAGGATCCAGCTCTAGAGTTACCTGTCGCCAGCAGGACCATGAGGGATGGATTTGGAGCTGAGAAACAATAAAATTAATAACTAGTTCTCTCTTTGTTTAAATAACTAGTACTCTTGCACAAGATATTCCATGTTCAGCTTGCCTTAGTCATGGAATCAGCCGTTTTTCCAAAGAGTCCTAATTCTTTTTGGTGAGGAAACCCAAGTTTGAGGGGCTAAGTATGCTCACAATGAGAGAGATATCATTGTTTCTAGGTTCTCTTAGCAGAGAGAGCCTGTATAAGCCTGTATATTTTTCTATACTTACATATAAATTCTTTTTTTTTTTTTTTTTTTTAAAGATTTTATTTATTTATTTGACAGAGAGAGACACAGTGAGAGAGGGAACACAAGCAGGGGAGTGGGAGAGGGAGAAGCAGGCTTCCCGCAGAGGAGAGAGCCCGATATGGGACTCGATCCCAGGACCCTGGGACCATGACCTGAGCCGAAGGCAGTTGCTTAACAACTGAGCCACCCAGGCGCCCTACTTACATATAAATTCTTAAAGGCCATGAACTCATACTGATAACTCCAATTCTAATTTTCCCAGGTACATACTGCTGCATAACAAAGTTTTACATCAAAATTTAGTGGTTTAAAACAGCTCTTTTATTTTGCTTATGTTTTTGTGGATTAGGAATTCTGGAAAAGTTTAGCTGTGTGATTCTTACTTGGAGTCTCATGCAATTACAGTCAGATTTTTACTGGGGCTATAGTCATCTGAAGGCTTGACTGAATTGGATACCCAAGATGGTTCACTCACATGAAAATTGGCTGCTACTTAGGGCTTTCAACTGGAGCAACTACATATGGCCTTTCCATGGGGCTTGGGTTTCTTATGGCATGGCAGCTCGGTTTCAAGAGGAAATGTCCAAAGAGTGGACATTTTGAGAGATCGAGGCAGAAAAGGCAGGAAATATTCTGAACTAACCTCAGAAGTTAAGTAGTGCCACTTCTGCGGTATCCTATTGGTTACTAGAAGGCCATTAAGATCAGCCCAGATCTAAAGGAAGAGGAATTAGACCCCACCTCTACATGAGGGGACTGCCAAATAATTTGCAGTCATCTGTAATGTCTGCTCTCTGGTCACAGATTATTTACATTCCTCCCACATGCAAAATTACTCATCCCTAAAAGATTTATCCCTTTATGGCTTCAGACTCAGGCTCAAGGTCCAGTATTTCTCCTAAATCAAGCCTAGGTGGAGGTGATGCTCCTTGAGCACAATTTCACAAATATATTCCTCTCACTCTGAAGATCTGTGAACTAAAGAGATACAGATACAATGGTGAACAGAGACAGGATAACCACAGTAAAATCCCATTCAAGAAGAGGGAATATGTGTGTTACATAGAAGCAATTCTGATATCCAGCCAGGCATATGTGGCCAGTTCCTTGATTAGGACTTAATTCTCCCTGGGAATGATTCTTCCTGGCTTTGAATTCCCTCATCTGAATCATTCTTTATTTCCCATAAGTAGTGGCCCTTGTTTGCAGCTGGGTAGCTTTCTCAGTCTTCCCTGTCCAGAGAAGTTCAAGCATTCAAAAGTTCTTTTTATTTTGTACCATCTCTGTCCCCTCTTATTCAATCTGGTATAATTTCTTTTAAAATATTATGTGTTTCTCGGGGCGCCCGGGTAGCTCAGATGGTTAAGCATCTGCTTTCGGCTCAGGCCATGATCCCAGGGTCCTGGGATCGAGTCCCGCATCGGGCTCCCTGCTCCTTGGGAGCCTGCTTCTCCCTCTGCCTCTCTCTCTGTCTCTCATGAATAAATAAATAAAATATTTAAAAAAAAATAAAATAAAATAAAATAAAATATTATGTGTTTCTCATTTATCTATAGCTTAAGTTTCTTTTTTTTTTTTTTTTTTTTTAAGTAAGCTCTGTGCTCAGCATGGGGCTCAAACTCATGACCCCAAGATCAAGAGTTGCAGGCTCTACCAACTGAGCCAGCCAGCCGTCCCTAGCTTGGGTTTCTTATAGCATGGTGCTGGGATATGCGAGGGAGCATTCAAGAGATCTTGGAATGGTCTCATTCCAAGAAACCAATGCAAAAACTGTAGTTTCTTTTGACAGACCCCTGAAAATCATGCAACATCATTTCCACTACATTCTGTTAGTTACCTGAATCACAGGTTCAAGAGAAGAATTAGATCCCATCCATCAATGTAAACATCAAAGAGTTTCCAGTCACCTTTAATGCATACTGATCCCACACTACAGGGCTCACTGTAGTCTTAGCTCTTCTCATATTTTTAGTTCCTTTCTCCAACAGTGAGAAACCCAGCTCCTGGCTCCTGTCTTCATCAACATAGTCATCTGTTTTGCTCAATCCTAGAATGCACTGAAAATAATTTCTGAATTGTTAAAGCATACTATTGCAAAAAAACTAAGGAGTTAGTATTATTTACAGCTCTTTTTGTCTTTAGTCTGAGAATATATAATTGAAATAATATGCTCAAATGTTACTTTTCTAAAAAATCTGCTTCACTGTGGTTATGTAATTCGTTTGAAGAGCAGTTAGAGTCTGTTTGTGTTCCATTTTAGTTCCCCCCATCCTTACGAGTTTTTTTTAGTATATAAAACATGAACATATTTTCTTTATTTTAAATTGAAATAGTTTACTAGGATATCTTTATTTTCTTTTATTTCTGGAATTTTCCTTGGATTGTAGTTTTGTTTTGTTTTTTAATATGTTTATGTATTTGAGAGAGAGAGAAAGCACACACAGATATGCACATGTGAGTTGGGGGTGCAGAGGGAGAGAATCTCAAGCAGACTCCCCGCTGAGCATGGAACCCAACCGGAGCTTGAACCCATGACCCATGAGATCACAATCTGAGCTGAAGCCAAGAGTCAGTTGCTCAACTGACCAAGCCACCCAGGCGCCCCAGATTGTAGGTTTACATATTAGTTCAATATGATTCACTGTTTAATTTTTCTTTCTTAGCAACTCCAATTATATGTATGTTGAATCTTCTTTGCCCATCTCCCATTTCAATCTCTCTGGCCCTTTTTACTTCTTTCTCTCTTTCTTTCTTTCTTTCTTTCTTTCTTTCTTTCTTTCTTTCTTTCTTTCTTTCTTTCTTTCTTTGAGAGAGTACAGGTAGGGGGGCAGAGGGAGAGGGAGCAAAACTCTAAGCAGACTCTGCACTCAGCACAGAGCCCAATGCAGAGCTTGATCTCAGGTTCCTGAGATCACAACCTGAGCCAGATGCTTAACCAACTCTGCCATCCAGCCGCCCTTTTACTTCTTTCTTTATCTCATTTTCATTATCTTGTTTTCTTGCCCCACCCCTGTTCCTGCTCCCATTACCCTAATTAAGTTTTATTATAATCTATTCTTCTTTGATCACTTTGTTAGTTTTTATTTCTAATATGATTTTGCCTGTTTCTTCTAATTCTTGCCTGAGCTTACTCAACTTTTGTTTCATTTCTTCCTGTTCTGGGTCCATTTCTGTTCTTAGTTTGGGACTTATTGAGGGTGTGTTTTTCCCCCATATCTCCAGATGTTTGTTTGAGAATATTTAATTCAGTTTGGAATGTTGCATCACAACTTTTCTGCTTCGTAGTTTGCTTTCAGAAGAATAAATTTTTATGAGCTGGAGAACTTTGATTCTCATTTTGTTTCCTTTTATATAGTAATGTAGTATAATAAGAACTGCTTATGCCCCTGCATTTCTCAGACAGAGATGGCCATCTGGAGTGGCTGATGAGAATTCTAGTTCAAGAGTCTCTCTTCTGTCAGTGTTGCAAAGGATAGTTTGGGGTGGGAGAGGAGTGCAAATAAAAGTGTGTTCTTTGATTTTTTTGAATTTCCTTTTGTCTTACAGGATCCGAAATTTTACCCTCTTATTTCTTTTTTCACTCCCTGCTCAGCCTAAGGGGCTCTTCTCCCTTTTTACTTGTCTTCTCCCCCAGAGGCATTACCTTTCCAAGACTGCTTTCTAGAGTTTCATGCACTTTAAATCCCTTCTTATAGACAATGCTTCCATCTATCAAGAGTCTTTTCTCAGTATTTTTATACTTGGGGTAGCCTTTCTCTCTCTGAAGGTGATTGTATTTAATCTAAGACCTGTTTCCCTCTTCTCCTTCCCATGTATTTTTTTCTCAATCTCACCTTGATCTCTGCAATCCCTTGGAGTGGGAGCCTGAGAAATGGTTCTGCTGGAAATTGGCAGGTATTTTTACTATGATATGAAGGTGATGGTGTTCTCTGTATTCTAGTAATGCTGGCCCCATGGGTTTTGTGCAGTGTACTGGCTGTTCTCATTGATCTGTATAGTTTTTGGAGGATGCATTGGGAGATTAGTTTTACTTGGTCGCCATTACCTCAGCTACTGGAAAGCTTGCCTCGTTGCATTTTAATCTCTTCTATTTATAATGCTATGTAATGCTGTGCTTTATGTCACATGGATAGAGTGGGTTTTTCACTTTCATTTTGTGTCCTATGATTTTTTTTCTCTATGTGATTTTGCTGAACTTTTTGTTATAAAACTTATGTAACAGAAGTAATGTACATACTGCACCCCAATATACACAACACCCAGCTGCAGCAAACACCAAAACTGTATTTCTGGTTTTTTGTTTTTTGATTTTAAAGTTTATTTTTTTAGTGATCCCTACACCCACTGTGGGGATTGAACTCACAACCCTGAGCCCGAGAGACTCTACCAACTGAGCCAGCCAGGCACCCCTATTTCTGGTTTTTACAAGAAAGAGGGAAAATCGTTACTCAGCAAATATTCCTTGACATCTACTATGTGCCATATTCAGAAATACTTTCTTGACTCTTATGTTTCTTTGGAAATTAGCCATGTTAATTTTAGGAGCTTGAATAAAACTTTCCTTTGAAACACTGATAGGTTTTTAAAAGATAGCATACTAAACTTTGAGGAATAATAAAAAGCGCATATAAAGGATAACATTTTCAAGAGCTAATTAAATTTTTGCAAAATTGCCTTAAATTTTATAGATCAAAAGTTAATTTTTAAGTGGCTGAGTCTTCAATAAAACAGATCTTTGAGAGTGATAAAGCTCCTTTATTTTTGGGATTCCAAAAGCAGTGATCAGCTAAAATGGCTTTAGCTAAATGCTGTAGTTTCTTTGACTATAATCACTTGTACTGAAGTGGCTATTTTTCAGTCTCATTATTAGTTTTAATGCCTACATCGCTGGTGTGTAAGGGTTCAAGGATCTAGTAGGCGGTGGTAAAAATGGTAGCAGTTCCTGACAATGCATATTTTGGCCTCATGTCTTGATGTCTTTATTGTAGATGCTGTTGCATGAAAAAGCAGAGGCTTTACAAGAGGAAGTGGAAGAGTTGCTGAGGTTGCCTCCTGATTTCCCCGGTATTGAGGTCTCTGCCGCTGAAAAGGCGTGAAGCTGTCTGACAAGCATTTTCAAACAGGAATGATTTATTGTACCTATTTTTCAATTAAATATTCCCTATAATTTATAAATGAAAAAAATACATTTTAATTATACATGAAGAACTGTGGATGATGTTTTAAATATACCTCTCACCCTTCCCACTAATAATCCATCTTCTTCAATACTTGCACATTATTTCTCTGCTCAAAAATCTAGTGTCCACCACAAAATGCGATCCAACTCCCTCAACATATCTCCAGCCTACCTTTGCAGCCAGACCTTTTATTATTCCCTTATACATTTTTTCATCAAACTAGACTATTTGAAATCCCAGAATTTTCCCTGGGATTTCCAAACCCTTCATTTCCTAATTGTTTTTTGCTACCCCCAGTGCATGAAAAATTATCTTTAAAATGTACTATATGGGTGCACTTGGGTAGCCTAGTTGCTTGATCGTCCAACCCTTGGTTTTGGCTCAGGTCATAATCTTAGGGTCGTGAGATTGAGCCCTGCGTCAGGCTCCATGTTCAGCATGGAGTCGGCTTGAGATAATCTCCTCTCTCCCTCTGTCCTTTCCCCCACTCACTCGTGCATGCACACACACACACACACACACTCTCTCTCTCTCTCTCTCTCAAGTAAATAGATAAAAAATCTTTTTAAACAATGTACTGTATGCTTCAAATTCTCAAATACTGTCTCCCCTATGAAATTGTCCAAGTACATCCTCATCCCCACCCCATACATGGGTTCTTCCCCTCCTGTAAGTATTCTGAGCCCTTCATTATGCCCATGTCTTTTTTCATACTGGTAATTTGAAATCTCATGGAGGGCCAAGACCTTTTTTATCATCTTCATATGCCACATGGCACTTAGCCCAGTCCATCACACAAAGTAGGGACCTGTGCAAAGAATGAATACAACCCAAATTAACAATTCAAAGATTCTTTTTAAACACAACTTAAACATTGCCTCTCCCCCATCCTTTTTAAATTTATAGCTCAAATATACACGGCTAGTTATCTATAGGTAAAACGGTAATAACTAGCAATGTTTTTGAATGCTGGACTGACTTAAAGTTTTACTCACCTGTCTGAGATATCCATTGGAAACATTGCAAAAAGATCCACAGTCTAAGTTCTTCGTGCCTTAACATTTTAGACTACACTATTATAACCGTCATTTACCTGGTAATTTCTATGTGCCAAGTACTGTTGTAAGTCTTTCATGTGACTAATTTAATCCTTACAACAACACTGTAAGGCCCATACTATTATTTCCATTTTACAGATGAGTAAACTGAGACACAGAGAAATTAAAATAACTTTCTCAAAGTCATGTACAAGTTAGTTGCAGAGCAGGAATTCAGGACCCAGGCTCTCCCATCCAAAGTGTGTGCACTTAACATTCATACAGTATTGTCTTAGTAGAATCCGCCCATTTTATCCCCTCTTAAGTGTCCCTTTCCCCTGGCCTTGATCTTATCCCTAGCATCACATCTCGTTCATTGACACTCTGCCCTTAATGTGAGCCAAAGTATGGCATCCAATGTCTTAGTAAAACCTTGGGTTTCACCGCACGTATTCTACTTGTTGCAGCTAAAAAGGTTGTGAAAGAGCAGCTGTCTAGCCTGCTGGCCGCTCGGGCCCAGCCACTGAGGTGTGTTCACCGTGGTTCATAGTCCAGCTTTCGTTTTTTTGTTTTTTGTTTTTTTTAAAGATTTTATGTATTTATTTGACAGAGAGAGACACAATGAGAGAGGGAACACAAGCAGGGGGAGTGGAAGAGGGAGAAGCAGGCCTCCTGCGGAGCAGGGAGCCGGATGCGGGGCTCCATCCCAGGACCCTGGGATCATGACCTGAGCCGAAGGCAGATGCTTAACGACTGAGCCACAAGGCGCCCCTGTTTCTTCTGAGTATTTTAAATAAAAATAAATTTTTTTGTTTTAAGAATTTTGACTCAAATACTGTATGTTTTAACTTATATGTGGAATCTAAATAAGCCAAACTCATAGAAACAGAGTAGCTTGGTGTTTTGCCAGAGGCTGGAATGGGGGAGTAGGGGGAATGGGGAGATTTTGGTCAAAGGGCACAAACTTCCAGTTATAAGATTAATAAGTTCTGGGGATCTGTGTACAGTATGGTGCCTATAGTTAACAGTACAGTATTATATACTTGAAAGTTGATAACAGAGTGCATCTTAAATGCTGTGACTACACACAAAAAATAATTATGTGAGAGGTTGGAGATACTAACTTTATTGTGGTAGTCATTTTGCAATATATATATATATATAAGTCTTCAGGTTGTACACCTTACATTTCATATGTTATATATCAATAATACCTCAATACAGCTGGGAAAAAATTTTTAACTCAAATGTGTATGATATCTGGTATGGTGGACAGAATTAACACCCCACTACCCTACCCAAAAGATCCCTACCTCCTAATCTTTGGAAAGTATAAATATGTCATGCTACATGGCAAGGGGGAATTAGCACTGTAGATGGAGTCAAGGTTGGCAATCAGCTGATCCGGAGATGGAGAGATTATCCTGAATTATCTAGGTGGTTCCATTGTAATTACAAAGGTCCTTATAAAGGAAAGAGGGAGTCAGGAGAATCAGAGTCAGTCAGAGGATAATAATTTAAGAGACTCAACCAGCCATTGCCGGCTCTCTGGGTGGAAGGGGGTCTCAAGCCAAGGAATGCAGGCAGCCTCTAGAAGCTGCAAAAAGCAGGGCGCCTGGGTGGCTCAGTTGGTTAAGCGACTGCCTTCAGCTCGGGTCATGATCCCAGGGTCCTGGGATCGAGTCCCGCATCGGGCTCCCTGCTCTGGGGAAGCCTGCTTCTCCCTCTCCCACTCCCCCTGCTTGTGTTCCCTCTCTCACTGTGTCTCTCTCTGTCAAATAAATAAATAAAATCTTTAAAAAAAAAAAAAAAAGAAGCTGCAAAAAGCAAACGAACAGATTTTTCTCTTAGAGCCTCAGAAACGAACTCAGCTCTGCTGACACCTGTTTGCCTACTGAGACCCTCTTGAGACTTCTGACCTTCAGAACTGTAAAATAATAGAATTGTGTTATTTTAAGCCAGTGGTTTGTTGGTGATTTGTTCAACAACAGGAAGCTAATAAATCTGAAAATAGCATGGAACACAATTGGAAAACCATCATCCTAGAGGACCCCTTGTGGATCACAGCATATGAACAATCTAAGTTAAATGTGTTATGCCTGTTGAAAGGATGATTTTATATTCCTGAAAATTGTAGAAATTCACTGTGACAAATGCCTACCATTTCTTTAAAGATTTATTTATTTATTTGAGAGAGAGAGAGAGAGAGAGTGGTGGGGAGGTCCAGAGGGAGAGGGAGAGAGAGTCCCAAGCAAACTCCATGCTGAGCACAGACCCCGGCACGGAGCTCTATCCCACAACCCCGAGAGCATGACCAGAAC